ACCTCTAATTTGGTGAATTAGAGAAGGGTTTACTCTTGCAGAGGGGATATAAATTACCTGATCAATGTAAATACGCACTAATTGTTCTCAAAAAATATACGAGTATCTAAATACTTACCATCACTTCTTAAACTCCCGCTGGGGCAGACGCGAGTTGCGTACGCCCCAGCATAGTTCGACGCGCCTTGCACCGACCCTGAGTAAGACGGCTGCGGGGAAACCGGGGAGTAGAACGGGTCGGAACACGGCTGGGTAAGGGGACAGGGGAGCGAGCAGTAAGTGGTGTAGGGACGACTGGAGACAAGGCCTGTAAATAATTGCATAGAGTTATAAAGGATAGACAAGCTATCTTAAGATCATAGCAGACTTGCTGTCCACTGCTGAACATAGGCTCCAATGCTTTACATGTTGCCCGGTTGGTAGCGGCCTGCGTCCAGCGCCTTCCTGCTACCTTTATGATGTCGTTGGCCCACCTTGTGAGTGGACATCCCACGCTGTGTTTTCCGGTACGCGGCCTCCACTCCAGAACCTTGCTGCCCCATCGGCCGTCAGTTCTGCGTACTATGTGCCCTGCTCATTGCCACTTCAGCTTGCTAATCCATAGGGCTATATCAGTATAGTATACATGTGTACATGGTTACCTACAGGTAATTTTGGCTATAATTTTTTTAAGGTTATTACTAAGTATGTAGCAAGGACTTTTAATAGCTCTTATAGGAATCGCCATCGCTATCGCGCACGCGTGTCGCGTTGGTTTCGCTGAACCTTCAGGTAACAGTGAAACATTGGTGAAAACGGTTTTATAAAAAGGGTTCTCTAAAATGCCTTTATGGGATCCCTTAGGCCCCAAGGGAGGCCCTTATGGGAGGTCCCTAAGGCTTAGGGGATTGTTGCTGGAAAAATACTTTGAATTGGAATCTATGCGAAAATTGCAGGGAAATACTATTAAGAAATTTATATTTACTCACTTAAAAAAAGCAAAATGGCTGCCAAAATGGAATAGGTAGCCATCTTCGACCAAGGCTTGTCTTCGAATAAAAAGTCCAGTCATATTTTACATAGTTAAATATATTTCCATTGAATTCACTCACAGGCAAAAGTACACCGTATTACAACACAATAAAGGTGGTTTTAGTGTGTATATGACAGATTGTTTGATTTTTTTACACTAGAAATAATAGTCACGATCGATTTCCAATCGAATGTCAATAGCGATAAGATTTGATTTTGTTTAAACAATCGCATTTGACTTGTTAGTTTTTACACAAGTTTTTACTTGACTTGTCCGTTCGTTCGTTTCAGCCGAAAGACGTCCACTGCTGGACAAAGGCCTCCCCCAAGGATTTCCACAAAGACCGGTCACCTCCCGCGACCTTCACCAGATCGTCGGTCCATCTAGTGGGAGGCCTGCCCACGCTACGTCTTCCGGCGCGTGGTCGCCACTCAAGAACTTTCCTGCCCCAGCGGCCATCAGCTCTACGAGCTATGTGCCCCGCCCACTGCCACTTGATTTTAGCGATTCTGCGGGCTATGTCAGTCACTCTGGTTCTTATACGGATCTCCTCATTTCTGATTCGATCACGCAGGGAAACTCCGAGCATAGCACGCTCCATCACCCTTTGGGTGACCTTGAGCCTTCAAGAGGCCCATAGTAGGCGACCACGTCTCAGATCCGTACACCATCACTGGCAACACACACTGGTCAAAGACTTTTGTCTTGAGACACTGCGGTATTTCGGATGTGAAAATATCGCGAAGCTTCCCGAACGCTGCCCAGCCGAGCTGGATTCGACGATTGACCTCTTTCTCGAAGTTAGACCTACCTAACTGGACTGTTTGTCCCAGTAAGTCTAGACAAAGTGCACATTTTAATCGCAAACCAGTCGAAAAGTGGTCAAAAAGCTTTTTCCGAGCGGCATTATTGTAGTGTGCGTGTGCACTCATGGATCATTTAGCGTGTACCGATAACACTCAAACATTAGCGGAACAGTGGTGGGGCGCGTCTTCGTGGATGAAACGATCTATACTATGAGGTCTCAAGAACGCGTGGTCGTACAGGGGACACACGAACCAGTCACAGAGCTCTATTCAATGCTTTGCGTTCGATTTGCTACTTCACTTAAGCAAGCATCGCTTGGTTGGTTGGTTTCATGGGATTTTACAGAACAAGAATCTTAAAGTATAAACTTTTATTAATAAACAATTCAAATTGGTAATACAACTATTGTATAATTAATTATGCTAAAATCTTAAAGTTGAAAATTTGGACGGTTTCACCAATGTCACCATTGAGCTAAAATTAGCAGCTCAGAGGCCAGACATTTCTCTCGGCTACCAAGTGATCGTACCTTAAAGTCCCACATTTTTTATTACGCCATTTAAAGGTCATAACACACTTATCAACCCGGAAAGGGATCAACACCGTATTCCCTTTCGCGCGCTGTCAACCGCGAGGCGAGGCGTTGCAGTTCGGAGTTTCATACAAAGAATACTGACCGCCTCGAGTTGATACGGTACGACCCCTTTCCAGGTTGATAAGTGTGCTTCGTCCTTTATTGATTTTTATGTCTTTCTTTATCTACTTGATTTACATTATAGTTGGAAACAAAATGAACCAGGAGCGTAATCCCCGTCCTTCAAAGATCCAGGGCTAAAAGTCAGCTTGGGGAACTTTGGAATCAAGTTGTACTTGAACACAACCTTCCCCGAATCTGAATCGAAACCTATCCCGAAACTTGGCTTGGCTGATGTGGATAGGATGAGACCTGGAACAAGACAGAGTTACTAAACTTTTTAGAAATAAGCTTTTATTGGAACGTTCTAAAAGAATAAGTTTATGGGGTCTTAGAATGGGAATAGAAAGAATTGTAGGTCACCTTTATTTTAAATAGCTCTAAAAAAACACATTCTTTCTTAAATTATTGTAAGGCGATAGATATATAGAGATAGTTTGAGTCCCGGGAAAGGACATAGGATAGGTTTTATCCCGGTTTTTGAAACAAGTACGCGCGCGATAAAGTTCTTCTGTGACAGACAAAATTCCACGCGGGCGGAAAGCTAGTTTAATAAAATAGCGAAAGTTTGTGAGTGTGTATGTTTGTTAGGAACTTCTTCACGTCTAAACGGCTGGAGCGATTTTAGTAAATTTCGGTATGGAGTTAGTGGACACATAGGCTACGTTTTACCGCGGTTAACACCGCGTGGCACAGCTAGTTTTGCAATATATCTTAAGAACTCCTAAATGATTGGTATATCACCACTGTACGTCATAGCACAAAATAATTATGAGCACTGTCATAGTCATAAATGTGTATGGAATGCTTAAAGTAGCTAACGTACCTATTTAATTTATTTTGATAAGGTGTTTTACAGAATCAATCTAAAAAGCTGTCAAATTATAATGTGACCATTTTTTCAACATCTAAATCAGTGGTTCTTAACCTTTAAGTCATGAGGGACCATTTTACCAAATTTCTGTCTTGTCAGGGACCACGGAAGGTTAGACAAACTTCGTGGGTGTAAAGGTAAGGTCATTTTGAGAAGAAGAATGATTCTTTTTTTTCAAATCCTATGAAAGCGAAGGTCGATTTCTCGCCCACTGTGCGCCGTTTGCGTTGTGTTGACTCGACTCATCACGTCACATCACTTGTTTCTTACGATGTCTTCGTGGACCACTTGGAATGCCTCCAGGGACCACCAGTGGCCCGCGGACCACCGGTTAAGAACCACTGATCTAAATATAACTAGCAATTAAATGACAAATACATACCAACAAAAATCAGAAAACCCACAGCTTTCAACATTTTTCCAGCAAAACCAACGTCTTGACAGAAAACATACATTTTCAGATTAATATACTCGAATTATATCAACACACAACCTCAATAAAGACCTGATTTTGTGAAAACTTCATGGTTGACTGAAATACAACTGATTTTCAAATAATGTAACATTTCAAACGTTTCAAATTTTTGTTTATAAATCGGAGAGTTGATTAATCTTTTACTTCATTTTGTAATTTAATTTAATTGTGGTTTTTACGGAATTATAATGATGAATGTCATTGAAGTTTGTTTTTGTGTACTTTTAGGGTTCCTTGCTTATTTTAATATATTCTTCTTAAATAAATAATTCGAGCCGGAAGTAGCAAGTAAAAAGATAGGTTATTTTTAAAACAGCTCTCTACACGCGGCGATTAGCAAGCAAACATTTAGAAGACAAATGAGCGCCCTAGATAACCACTAGATCATCATCAGTTCCTCCGTGGTTGAGGATTCCGGGTGAAGCTCGCTTCCACCTTCGGCCTAATCATCACTTTCTACCATGAGAGGCACGCCAAAAGCTTCCTTGTTGTGTCCAAAAGTTCCTTTATTTCTTAAATAGTCTAATAGTCCCGTTAACCCCTCGTACTAAGCTAAATATGCTTACGAATGCGTTCACCACAATAGTCGAGCGGTGGCGTTCGAACCAGCGTTCTTTAGATCTCGAGTCGGCCAATCCGACACCTTGACCATTCGGCAGGCCCCTCTTTCCTACTGGGCACTTTGGGCACATGCCCAGGGCCCCGCAACCGCAACCGAAGGGGCCCCCATGTGCTCAAAATACCTTTTCTCCAGATGATAAGGCCCCTTGATCCTTAAGTGCCCAGGGCCCCTAGTAGGTTAAAGACGGCCCTGCAATTCAGTTAAAACTTTTAAATATTTTAACTTATTCTTAGATAAACACGTCCTTTCGTTGTCTGTAAAAAGACCCTCTTTAAAACATATCGCTTAAAATATACGTTTAATTACAAAATCCACAATCCCAAACATCAGAAGTATGTCAAGAATTTTTAATCTTCCCATAGGAAAACAAAATGTGATATTTCCAAACATTTTTTAATTAAAACCTAATTGTGTAGAGATGTTCGTGTATGGTTTTCAACCGTAAAATGGGATATCAAGGCTTTCAGTATAAATACTGAGGGTTTCAGCCGTTTTAGCATAGACCGTAGGGAGAAAGAAAGATGGCGTTTAGAACTACCTTCTTCTTTATTGGTAAGTACAATATAATATTTTTTTTCATTAGGTTTTCTTAAATTCTCAAGTAATAAATTGCCTCAAGTAAAATTATCGAATTCCAGTTGTTCGAATAATTATAGCAAGAAAAGAAATAAATTGGATAATGATGAATGATGATGGAAAATAAGTGGACTTCAAAATTCAACTTATTTATTAATATGAAGGCCCTTTTCAGGGCATCAAATGTACATGTCCCAAATACATACAGGATGATTTGAAAAATGACATTAAATGTGTGACGGATTGTACAGCGCCCCTAGCGGAAACGTTCAAGAACTAAAAGTTACATTTAACGCGCTCTCTAGTGAGGACTTTTGATGTAAACTCATACTCAGAATTCAGATACCTCTAGCTGTGACTTTAGAATCCTACCTTTTGTTCTACATTATGAATGTCGATTTAATAAACTTAGTAGACTTTTAGTTCAACTTTTTTTCAATGTCTTTATTAAACCTGATTATTTGGGCACTTAGGTCTTTTGTTTTTTATTTCTTTTTATCTGTCATCATCATCATCATCTCAGCCATAGGACGTCCACTGCTGAACATGGGCCTCCTCCAATGCTTTCCATGCTGCCCGGTTGGTAGCAGCCTACGTCTAGCGCCTTCCTGCTACCTTTATGATGTCGTCGGTCCACCTTGTGGGTGGACGTCCCACGCTGCGTTTTCCGGTACGCGGCCTCCACTCCAGAACCTTGCTGCCCCATCGGCCGTCAGTTCTGCGTACTATGTGCCCTGCCCATTGCCACTTCAGCTTGCCAATCCGTCGGGCTATGTCAGCGACTTTAGTTCGTTTACGGATCTCCTCATTTTTTATCTGTACATAATATTTAATAATACTCCTTTTCCAGCGCTGCTAAGCACCGCGTACTGCAATCCCCTTGGCAACCCCCTTGGGGCAACGACGGTATGCGAGTCAGCACCGAATTATGGTCCGGTACCATCCTATGGTGCCACCACCGTGTGTGAGACCGCGCCCAATCTACTTCCCTACGGCCTACCATATGGCGGACTTGGCGGACTTAACGGACTTAATGGATTTAACGGACTTAACGGATTTGGCGGGGCTACAACCGTTTGCGAGACCAGCCCTAACGTAGGCCTGGGATTGGGAACTCTAGGCCTGGCCCTCCCTTATGGAGGCCAGACAACGGTTTGCGAAACCGCCCCTAATGTTTTTGGCGGTTTAGGAGGAATAGGGTTGGGGTACCCACTTGGATATTTAGGGGGATACCCATTGGGCGGACTCGGCGGAGCCACAACTGTCTGCGAAACTGCTCCCAGTCTGTTAGGACTGGGTTACTCTAATCTAGGTCTAGGTCTGGGAGGGTTGGGAGGACTTGGTGGGCTTGGATACGGCTACCCGCCGCTAGCCGCTGGTGGAGCGACCACAGTCTGTGAAACCACCCCTAACGTGCTTCCTTACCTTGGTGGGTTGTCGCCCCTTGCTGGGTTGGGAGGCCTTGGATCTTATGGATTGGGGTTAGGAGGCCTTGGCGGTCTAGGAAGCCTCGGCCCACTTGCAGTTGGAGGCCAGTATCCTCTAGGCTCGTCGACTGTTTGCGAGACTGCCCCTAACGGTCTGTTAGGTGGGGCTTTGAGTCCTCTGGGCCTCGGTGGGCCTCTGAGCGGGACTTTGGGCCTCGGTGGACCCTTGGGCAGTCCTTTGGGCCTCGGCCTGCCCTACGGCCGGGCTTTTTTATAAAGAACCAGTCCTCCTCCGTTTCTTCTAACGTTTCCAACACCGTAATAGGAAGAGGCACTGCACCGATTTTTCTAAGTCGACAATCTGACTTGAAAACCTATAACAACGATCACCACTGCATGATTGGCTTCTAATTATATCTATGGTCTCTCATCTCTAAGCCTGGGTTACACTTTAACTTTAACGGCAAGTCGTTGAACTCCATACAAAAACACCGGTTATAGTTACAGTTACGGTTAAGTAAAGGTGCAACTCAGCATAAGCATTATAAAAATGATCTAGGTTACAGCATTATCATAGTTTATGGTACTCAGTTAACTCATTTCTCTTTCTTATTAAAAATCTGCAAAATTCCCTCAGGATTCCATTTATGGGAATAACGGTTATTAATTGGCAATATAGTTGGTTAATAATAATAGTTTCATTTATATTTTTGGATTGCTGAACAAAAATGCTGTGATCTAGATCGAAAAAAAAAAATTATTGATATTATGTAAATTCTAAATTTTGTATTATGTATCTCATTGGCAATAAATTGTATATATTTCAATGTGGTTTGTTTTTTATTCCATTTGGTACCTATTTATTTATAGTACAGTCAGCGTCAAATTAGTTCGTGACACCCAAAGTGGGCAAAAAGACAACACAACCTTATTCCTTAGACATATCCCTTTTTGGCTACTTTGGGTGACACGAACTATTTGATGCTGACTGTACCTATTTATAACAGTACTTGTGACGAATTTTTAATGCTGTAAAACTCTTATTTTATTACCTAAGCTTACGCTATTTTATTTATTTCAAAAGACAACACTAACTTTAGCTTAATACTATTAACCATTGCAGAATTGTTATCATCACACCATAGGTAAAATAAAAACAAAACTACAAATAATATGCAAAAAACACCCGCACTTTATTTCAATCACACCGTATTTACAAACGTAGCTATTCTATTATATACATAAGTTTATACATTTACGCGCAAGGATTGCACGGGTTGCACGGGCAGGGGGACATTATGGGACAGGGACAAGGAGAGGGACAGGGTTCCGGACAAGGTGGAGGGCAGGGTTCAGGACAAGGACAGGGGCATGGACAAGGGGACGGCTCAGGGCATGGACACGGACAAGGGGATGTCTCAGGGCAGGGGAACGGACAAGGGGACGGGAACGACCAGGGATAAGGGGATACGCCTCCTCCGCTTCCTCCGCCTCCTCCCCCTCTGTATGGGCTGATGACAGCGGAGCCGATGGTCCTGAAACTGCTGGGCGGATTCGGCTGGAAGACGATGACGGGCGGGGCGGGGACGATGATCTTGGGCGGCTTTACGATCAGAGTGTCTGGTAGAGGCGGGACCACTGGGCGAGGTTGAATCTGAGGAAAAGAAAAAGTTAATGTTATTAAAGTCCGGTCGCCGAGCAAATAGAGTTTTATACAATGACCCCAATATATTTATTAGGAACAAAGTAGGTTAGATTTGACTTGGCACGTTTTTATCAGAATTAAAAAAAAAGATAAATAACCAATGAAATACCATAAAAAAAAACATCTTAGTAAATAACTTTATAAAATGACTGATTAATGAAAACTGGTCAAGTCAAATGTAACTTACTTTGTTCCTATAAAAACATAGGTATTTGGATTTTGAATAGAACTTGACACTCATTTAGATCTCCATTCTTTTTACGGCGAAGCCAACAGCCAGGCATAATTTTTGTATTGAACTTGGCTCTCCTTTTTTACAATTATGTTTTTGGTGGAATAATAATTTAGTGCTTTGGTAGAGCTCGGTTCAATTTAGATGTTTATAGCGGCTATAAAGTTTCACACCAAAGCTTTATTTACCTCACGATAAAACAAAATAATATAAAGCCAACAAGGACAATCTCTCTTACGCCCGTATTCACAAACATTACTATGAGGTCTCACAGTGCGCGTGGACGCACAGGGTCACACACGAAGTCACGAACCAATAACAGAGCTCTCAATCAAGCATCGTTCGTGAATACGAGCGTTTGTCTTTCACTGACAGTTTTAGAACTGTTTCACATTAGTGTCATTAATTTATACTAACCCTCATTGGTGGTGGGCGTGGCACGGGGACTGGTGGTGGCCTCACGCAAATGGGAGCTGGCTGCGGCACTGGCACAGGTGGTGGTCTGAGGAAGAAGAATAACATTAATAGGTCTGGATATTGGACTATTCAAACCTTTCGTTCTTTCCCTGCAACTCTGGATTCATACCTCTCCCTTCCTGCCATTCCTGTGTAGCCGGGATCTAGACCTTAATCGCCTTTAAAAACTTCCCAGGGAAAGACAAATTATTATCATAAGATCCATAGATTAAGAATTTAAAGGTTGATACCCTACTTCACATCTCTTCTTTATTAAAGAACTGTTTTCTCTTCGTTCTCTCACTGCTGTTACTCCTGTAAGGTGCCTACGAACTGTTCATATAATTATTATGTAGTTTGACAAAATAGTTGTTAGCTATTACAGAAATACAGGTCATTTTTGTCTCTATTGCAGGAGCATACCCCTCTCTAATTGACCATGACTAGACTATAGAAATGAAATTTTACAGTTAGGTCACAGTGTTGATTACAGAAGGAATTTCATGCTTATTTACAGCCTTAAATTAACCTCCTAGTGAATCCTAACCTATCATAAAAAGGAGGAAGTAACTTGTATAGTAACTAAGTTCTAGGGCTTCTACAAAGTTCACTACAATTTACTAACTCCTGGTAAAATTCCTCATCATAATCATCAGTCATTCAGTCTCCAGGACTAGATACCCTCTCCAAGACTGCAAACTTACACTACAATTTACTAACTTCTGGTCAAATTCTTCATCATCATCATCAATTCATCAGTCATTTAGTCTCCAAGACGACCCTCTCTAATTTGAACGCGACTGTGCGACGCGCGACGGGCGCCCGCAGTGAGTGTGCGAGCGCGACAGCAACATAATTACGCGCGAGCGATAAGGATGGGTAGCTTGGGGTCATTGGACAACATTTACAGAGGCAAATGGAGGAGGTCAAATTCTTACCTGACATAAATAGGGGGTGGTATCGGCGGTCTCACAAGCCCTGGTCTGACCGTGATAGGGGCAGGAGTTGGGGGCTGCACCCTAGCGGGACTGACCCATATCCGAGGGGGGGCTGGAGGGGTGATCTGCCCGGGTCGCACGATTATAGGCGAGGGGGTCGGGAACCGGATCTGTCCTGGCCTTATGATCAGTTGTCCTGGGGAAGAGAGTATTATTCTTTAATGTAGAAATGCAATTATAGGCCTGGTTTGCACCAAGGTGGAGCAGAGCGGAGCGGAGAAGTGTTTTCATTATTTCCTCTTCTCCTCTCCGCTCGGCGCCACGCAAATTCTATAGAAAACAACGGTCTGCTCCGCCTTGGTGGAAACTGAACTGAATTGCCGTGTTCCGACAGTTGGAGGTAAGATAGTTATTCTGTAGTTGACGATTCCGGATGAAGCTCGCTTCCACCTTCGGCCTTCCCATGTGACATGCAGACCAAGAGCTTCCTCGTTGTGGATAAAAAAAAAAGTATTGGGTCATCATCAGGACAGTAGTCTCCACTCCAGGAACATGACTTTCTCTAATGTACCAGAAACAAATGGAGGGTAAGGCCTACACTCCCCACGCTGGCCAGACGGGTTGGAGAGGCCTGATGCTCTACATATCGTAACCCGCGTTCCTCGGATCACAAGTCGGCCAAATTCAAATTCAAATCGTTTATTATAATATGTCACATTACAATCAGTCAGCGAGTCCGGCCCCTTCACCGTTCGACTATCATGGCTTGGGGGATGCCTATGTTCAGTAGGGGACGTCCTATGGCTGAAATAAAAATGATGATGATGATGACTGACAGAAAGGGTGGGTTGGTGGGTACCAACCGGCCAATTTGGAAATCATTTGGGGGCTTATGTTCAGAAGTGAACGTCCTATGGCTGAAATGATGATGGTGAATCTTACCTGCCGGCGCTTGCCCATAGGCATAGTTCACGAACGGGGCGTTGGGGTTACACGGACCGATCTGTATCGCCTCCACGTTGCAGGGGTCACAGGGGGAGCAGGGGCATTTGTATTGCACAAATTACTAATAGTCCCGTTAGCCCCTCGTACTAAGCTACATATTATTATGCTTGTGTCACGAGTGGGCTCGCCATAATAGTCGAGAGGCGTTCCTCAAATAACGAGTCGGCCAGTCCAGCCTCTTCACTGATCAGTGATGAAATGATGATGATGATGTTAAGGCGATTAGAGTCCTCAATCCGCGTCAAATGGGCATTTTGTAAAGCCTACTCCTCTTTTACTACTGGACAGAAATAGTTGAAAAAAATATATGTTATACAACAGTTCAAGGACTACATTTGTGACGTTTGAATTTTTGCTACGTCTCTTTGTTTTGGATTTTGTGTCGTAACAAATTACTAATAGTCTTTTTTACAAATAAAAGAAAAAAGAAACTTACCTGCCGGCGCTTGCCCATAAGCATAGTTCACGAGCGGTGCGTTGGGGTTGCACGGACCGATCTGTATCGCCTCCCCGTTGCAGGGGTTACAGGGGGAGCAGGGCTCGCAGGGGCATTTGTATTGCACACATTACTAATAGTTCCGTTAGCCCCTCGTACTAAGCTACATATGCTTGTGTCACGAGTGGGCTCGCCATAATAGTCGAGAGGCGTTCCTCAAATAACGAGTCGGCCAGTCCAGCCTCTTCACTGATCAGTGATGAAATGATGATGATGATGTTAAGGCGATTAGAGACCTCAATCCGCGTCAAATGGGCATTTTGTAAAGCCTACTCCTCTTTTACTACTGGACAGAAATAGTTGAAAAAAATATATGTTATACAAAAGTTCAAGGACTACATTTGTGACGTTTGAATTTTTGCTACGTCTCTTTGTTTTGGATTTTGTGTCGTAACAAATTACTAATAGTCTTTTTTACAAATAAAAGAAAAAAGAAACTTACCTGCCGGCGCTTGCCCGTAAGCATAATTCACGAGCGGTGCGTTGGGGTTGCACGGACCGATCTGTATCGCCTCCCCGTTGCAGGGGTTACAGGGGGAGAAGGCCTCGCAGGGGCATTTGTATTGCACAAATTACTAATAGTCCCGTTAGCCCCTCGTACTAAGCTAAATATGCTTTTGTCACGAGTGGGCTCACCACAATAGCCGAGCGGGGTTCGAAACCGCGTTCCTCGGATCACGAGTCAGCCAGCCAACCCCTTCACCGATCAGCTACCGTGTCTTGGGGATGCCTATGTTCAGTAGTAAACGTCCTGTGGCTGAAATGATGATGGAGCCACGATAGCCGAACGGTGAATGGGTCGGACTGGGCGACTCGTGATCCGGGGAACGCGGGTTCGGTCCCCGCCGCTACTCGACTATATTGTGGTGAGCTCACTCGTGATACAAGCACATTTAGCTTAGTACGAGGGGCTAACGGGAGTATTAGTAATTTGTGTCGTAACAAATTACTAATAATCTTTTTTACAAATAAAAGAAAAAAGAAACTTACCTGCCGGCGCTTGCCCATAAGCATAGTTCACGAGCGGTGCGTTAGGGTTACACGGCCCGATCTGTATCGCCTCCCCGTTGCAGGGGTTACAGGGGGAGCAGGCCTCGCAGGGGCATTTGTATTGCACACATTACTAATAGTCCCGTTAGCCCCTCGTACTAAGCTAAATATGCTTTTGTCACGAGTGGGCTCGCCATAATAGTCGAGAGGCGTTCCTCAAATAACGAGTCGGCCAGTCCAGCCTCTTCACTGATCAGTGATGAAATGATGATGATGATGTTGAATCTTACCTGCCGGCGCTTGCCCGTAAGCATAGTTCACGAGCGGGGCGTTGGGGTTGCACGGCCCGATCTGTATCGCCTCCCCATTGCAGGGGTTACAAGGGGCGCAGGGGTCACAGGGGGCGCAGGGGTCACAGGGGGCGCAGGGGTCGCACGGGCAGGGGGGAGGGGGCTCGGGGCAGGGACAGGGGCAGCACGGGCCTTGCGGGTCCGGCTCGGGCAACGGCTGGCCGAAGGCTGACCCTAATATTAGAACTGAAATAAAAGAAAAAGAACATTAATCTATCTATCTTCTATATTATAAATAAAAATGAATTAATGTTCGTTAGTCTGATTAAAACTCGAGAACGGCTGGGCCGATTGGGCTGATTTTGGTTTTAAAATGTTTGTCGTAGTCCAGGGTAGGTCTAAACGGTGAGCAAATACGCGCGCGATATTGTTTTTCTGTGACAGACAAAATATCACGCGGGCGAAGCCGCGGGCGGAAAGCTAGTTTTAAATAAATAAACAACTTGAAAAAACCGAACTGCCTAAGGTGGGACTCGAACCCACGACCTTCCGCTTGCCGGGCGACTGCTCTTCCAACTGAGCTACTTAGACACTGGATAAACCTGAACTTGTAGAAATGTTAAAGTGTTATACGCTGTTATAGCCGCGATTTCATCAATGTTGGGTATAATAACGATTAAAAAAACATAAAATTAGTTTTATTCTATGAGCACAAGTAGAGAACGGAAAGCACGTTTGATATGTTTTTTTTGTTCAAATTTAAATTCAAATGTTATTGCATGTCACATCCCAACTAATATTATAAATGCGAAAGTAACTCTGTCTGTCTGTCTGTCTGTCTGTCTGTCTGTCTGTCTGTCTGTCTGTCTGTCTGTCTGTCTGTCTGCCTGTTACGCTTTCCCGCTTAAACCTCGCAACCGATTTTGATGAAATTTGGCATAGAGATAGTTTGAGTCCCGGGAAAGAACATAGGATAGTTTTTATCCCGGTTTTTGAAACAGGGACGCGCGCGATAAAGTTTTTCTGTGACAGACAAAATTCCACGCGGGCGAAGCCGCGGGCAGAAAGCTAGTTACAAATATTTTTAATGCTGTTAAATTTAAGACTTGAAGTCATAAATTAATACGTTGATGAAACACTTTGAATTTGAGCGCGCATCGAGTGTCGAGCAGATTGTCGTAATTCGTATGACATGAACAACTTTAATCCTTAAAAAACAAGAGAACATAATATTATTGAGCACTAAGCTTAGGGTTTTATTAAAAAAAAATACACGTTGGACATTACTTTAAATTGACATTTCCATACTTAATGACAATTTAAACAAAGTTTTAAATACCGACCAACGACATCATAAAGGTAGCAGGGAAGCTCTGGACGCAGGCCGCTACCAATCGATCAACATGGAAAGCATTGGGGGAGGCCTATGTTCAGCAGTGGACGTCCTATGGCTGAAATGATGATGATGATGACGTTTTAAATAAAAACAAACTTACCAGACAACCACAGTACTTTGCCCCTCGCCATCTTCCGGTCCTCTGATGAAACTTACATGTATAATTCTCTTTATATACTTATTATACATTAAACTTAAAAATTATATAATAAAACACACACTCAAAAAACTAAAATTCAAGTTGTACCTTAAGTATTATACTGTAGAATCGAAAATGCATTGAAATTAAAGTAGTATAGTTATTTAAAAATAAGTAGTTATGATTTGTTAGACTGAACAAGCAAAAACCATACATAAATATTTTTTCTCAATTATAAAATAGAGATGATTTTTTTCTTGTTTTTTTCACGGTTAAAAAGCTGTGCGAAAACTTTCGACGTATTTTAAAATGTTACTAAAACATTTATTTTGTTTTTATTGGGTTTTTCATAAGCATTAAGTTTCAGTCTACTCAAAGACTTACACAAGTACTGAGTAAAAGAAAAATCATTTTTCTACATTGGTTCATCATTTCAGCCTTAGGGTAGTCGACTCCTGGACACAAGACTCCCGTATCATCATCATCATCAACATCTCAGCCATAGGACGTCCACTGCTGAACATAGGCCTCCCCCAATGCTTTCCATGTTACCCTGTTGGTAGCGGCTTGCGTCCAGCGCTTTCCCACTACCTTTACGATGTCGTCGGTCCACCTTGTGGGTGGACGTCCCACGCTGCGTTTTCCGGTACGCGGCCTCCACTCCAGAACCTTGCTGCCCCATCGGCCGTCAGTTCTGCGTACTATGTGCCCTGCCCACTGCCACTTCTCCCGTATAGGACGCAGTATTATTATTTATTTATTCATAAAAGTTATTTATTTTTTCAAATTATGCTTTTATTGATGACTAGCGGCCGCCCGCGACTTCGTACGCGTGGATCCCGTTTTACCCCCTTAGGGGTGGAGTTTCGTAAAATCTTTTCTTAGCGGATGCCTACGTCGTTACATCTACCTGCATGCCAAATATCAGCCCGATCCGTCTAGTGGTTTGGGCTGTGCATTGATAGATCAGTATGTCAGTCAGTCACTCAGTAACCTTTGAGTTATATACTTAAATTCAATAGATGTCGCTACAAATTATTCCAAGTAAAGAGGAAAACCTTTTCTAAGAGTACAAAGATTCAAACACTGCTAGTACCAGGAAATTCGTCAAATAGCTAGTATGAATTCCACATCATTTTATTCGTTACACGTCCTGTTACAAATGGACGGTCATCTGTTACCTACTAGTGATGTACCAGGTCGTAAAATGTCCCTATATAGATATCCGTTAGGTAAGGTACGGATAAGGTTTCTTAGGCTGGGTTGCACCATCTTAAGTACTTTAACTTTGACAAACGTCAAAAATATGTCAAACTCCACACAAAAAACACCGGTTATCGTTATAGTTACAGTTAAAGTTAGGTGGTGCAACTCTGCCTTAGTGTTCGGATCCGCCTCTCCATTCCTTTAAAGAGATGACATGTGAGACTCTCGGTAGCGCATTTTCTTACATAACTTTTCAATTCCTATCATTGGAGGTCCGAAAATATTTCTCATACAATTTGATACCATAATGATCATTCTTCATAAAAAATTTAAAACCTACATATTTATAAACATAATCATTGATATTCATAATATCACTAATCATACACTTAGTTTTTACTAATATTTGTTTTCATATATTTTTCTATACTAATGATCGAAAGTCATAATCTTTCGAATAAATAACTATAATATTCATAAATGTGATGTATCCTAATATTTGTTTTATATTTGTTTTANTTACAAAACTATGACTTATATTTCTCTCGTAAATGTCTTAACCAAAATGACGGTATTATTATCTATGTCAAAAAGGGTTTGAAATGTACTGTTAGCGAACCGGAACCTGTTGGTGGAAATTTCCTCCTATTAAACCTAGAACCTGATATTTTTATTCTAGCTACATATAGGTCTCCCTCTTTACATTGCACAGACAGCTTTATGAATACAATTGATAGTATAATTCGCCCTATTAAGTCAAATAACGTAATACTTGTTGGTGACGTTAATATAGANTTGATTAAACACGTCAAAAGTCATAATAAATTTTCGCGCGAAGATTTCCGCAAGTCAATTCCACGTTTTTGTGGTCAAGACATTTTTCAATTCAATGTTAAAAATGGAAAACGTGCTCAAATGACAAAAAGTTTTGAACAAGGTTATAGTCAAAAATGACAAACTTTTCATTCAAAGTATCAGATGTCGTCTAACAACACGTTATGATGTCGAGGCTCACAACTTAAATAGTGCCCTAGTAGTTTTAAATCTTAGTCTGTTACGACCTGTGAACAGGAGAATTATAAACTATAGACAGACTGACTTTGACGGTGCTTTAAAGTACTTGGAGAAGACAGATTTTTCTTTTATTATTTCGTCTCCAAATGCAGATGCAGCCGCAACTCTCTTTGTTGAGAGATTATCCGAAGCTATAGCCACAAATACTAGAATTCGCCGTCGGTCGAGTAGACAAAGAGCACTTAAGCCATGGATAACTCCAGGTTTATAACGCTGTATTCGCCATAGGGATAGGTTACACAAAAATCTAATGAATGACCCCGAAAATTGTATTCTTATCATTTCATATAAGCGCACAGTCNCGTAATACTTGTTGGTGACGTTAATATAGACATTAAAGCAGATAGTACTGATAGGCACTGTGCATCCTATCTTAACCTGACGGCGGAACTGGGTTTACTTGCTGGTCATTGTTATCCCACCAGACTATACAATTGTCTGGATCATGTTATGATGAAAACCACCTTGACAGCATCTATTTTTGTCTTGGATCCATCAGTAACTGACCACGGGCTAATAGTTTTAAATCTTAGTCTGTTACGACCTGTGAACAGGAGAATTATAAACTATAGACAGACTGACTTTGACGGTGCTTTAAAGTACTTGGAGAAGACAGATTTTTCTTTTATTATTTCGTCTCCAAATGCAGATGCAGCCGCAACTCTCTTTGTTGAGAGATTATCCGAAGCTATAGCCACAAATACTAGAATTCGCCGTCGGTCGAGTAGACAAAGAGCACTTAAGCCATGGATAACTCCAGGTTTATTACGCTGTATTCGCCATAGGGATAGGTTACACAAAAATCTAATGAATGACCCCGAAAATTGTATTCTTAACATTTCATATAAGCGGTATCGTAATTTTTGTAACTCCCTTTTGAAGAAAACTAAAAGAAGTTATGAAAAATCTTTACTGAATGCTGCAAAAACTAACAAAGAGACGTGGACTGCAATCAAACAAATTGTGGATATTTCTAAGCTAAATGTTACGGCCGACGATCTTCTATCATCAACGGATATAAAGAGTATCAATGACTACTTTTCTAACGTTGGTAAACAGTTAGCTGATGCAATAACTCCTCCAACTAATCTTAACGCAGATTCTTTCGAACTCACGTCTACTGCAAATTCCTTGGTTCTGCTTGCGCCGGACGAATCCGAAGTGGAATCTTTGATCATGAATCTTAAAAACGATTGTGCCACTGGCTGGGACTCTATCCCAGTAAAATTCCTTAAGTTGGCCAAGAATATCATAGTCCCGCCACTCACTAAGCTGATTGAACTTTGTTTGAGCCAAGGTATCTTCCCGAAGGCATTTAAAAAGTCACTCATAACACCTGTACATAAAAGTGGCTCTAGACAGGACATCTCTAATTATAGGCCTATTTCTGTTTTAACTTCTTTATCCAAGATCCTTGAAAAAGTATTAAATAATCGGTTAGTATCATTTCTTGAACAACATTTTATTCTCTCTAAATCCCAGTTTGGCTTTAGGTCTGGTGTAAGTACTGATGATGCTGTCAGTCAATTAACAAACTACGTTATCTCTAAAGTTGATTCCGGAAAAAAGTGCCTAGGTATCTTTCTCGACCTTGCCAAGGCCTTCGACACTGTTTCGATTCCTCTACTGGCAGATAAACTTTATCGAATTGGCATACGTGGCAGCGCCCTTGGTGTTTTTAAAGACTTCTTGTCTGACCGAACTCAGCAGGTTAGGATCGGCGAAAGTATAAGTCCGGAAGCTCCAGTGGTCTATGGGGTCCCCCAGGGCAGTATACTTGGCCCAAGCCTCTTTTTGGTTTACATAAATGACCTGTGTCAACAAAAACTTTTAAATGGCGAGATTTTCACATATGCTGACGATACGGCGCTGGTCTTTTATGGTAACACCTGGAAGGAGGCTCAACGTAACGCTGAATTGGGACTTCATAGGGTATACTACTGGCTGAGAGTCAATCTACTCACTCTAAATTTGACTAAAACCACGTTCCTTCAATTTACCTTTGCCCACCATGCCCCTCCTGAACTCAACGTGAAGGTCCATTCTTGTACCAACCTTGAGGACACAAACTGTACATGTTTAACTCTATCAAGATCAACCACTATTAAATATCTTGGTGTAACCCTGGATGGTAAACTTAGTTGGCGGCCACATATAGATCTCTTGGCACCCACCCACACACACACACACACACACACACACACACAAACACACACACACACACACACACACACACACACACATGCTTATAATACTATTGTTATTTTTGTTAAGTTAATTTCAAAAAATTTTTAATATGCTTGTTAAGTTAAATTAATTTTCAAAATTACCATTTGTAATAAATAACTTTATTTAGTACCGTTCACCGATTTAAGTGTGGGCACTGGCTCCTGTAACACAGGTAAATACACCTAGCACAGGAGTCAGGGGTTTCGCAATTTTATACTTTACTTGTTTTTATGTCAATAAAGTTATTATTTATTTATTTATTTATTTATTAATTCCCACCTCTCGTTCCCACCGCTGCAACTTCTGTGTAGCCAGGATCTACAGCTTGACCGCCAATAAAAATCCTCCCCATAAAGGTTAATAAAATTGTTTGTAGATAGTCTCTTGAATGAGCGACACTCGCGTGATTCAGATTTTGTGTGGCAAGCTAATTTTTGTAAATCTTTGAATGCTGTTCTATTTCTTTTCCAAAATAAAGGAATGTTTTCTTTGAGAAAAATTTTCTATCTACAATATTAAAAGTACTTTCCCTCCAGGTGGCATTACAAAATTCCACCCTGTATAATCAGATTTTGTTATTTCCACATCACTTCTCCGCTCAGCTTCGGTTCGGAATTCTGATAGGTTACTCAAACACATATCTCCTCTCCTGTCCGCTATAGAGGACCCAGGGCCTAAGGCTGGTTTTAGTGTCACTGCGGACTGTTAGTGCGGATCGCTCCGCATAGCCGATCTGTATGAACTGCTATCGCGATAGCGAGCGGTTCCTCCGGACCGCATTACTCTTAAACGCTCCCTAGAAGTTCATACAGATTGGCCGTGCGGAGCGAGTCCGCACCGGACGGTCCGCGTGACACTAAAACCAGCCTAACGGTTGCCTTTTCCGCGTAGATTTCGGTCTGTCACATAAAATCCAATCTTAGGAGTATCGCTCGTTAAAGAACTTTATTTATCTATGAATGTAGACCTAATAAATTATGTTTTACAGTTCAATTACCTTGTGTAATTCGTCTACGTATGCCTGCATCGCTTCGTCTTTGGTCATATTTCCTAGTTTGTTCCATGACTCCCATTTTGCTCTGAAATATACAAATAAAACTATATTTATTACCGTCTAATTTGCACACAAAACTGACAACACAAAAAATATATTTAGAATAAAATCCTTGTTTATTCAAATTATACAAACAATCGATGAGACCATAAACTTCGAAATAACCCGTGAATCATTTCTAAAAACAGCTAAATGCGTCACCTAAGTGAAGTTAACGTTACATTGTAAAATCATTTTCAACATTCTATTATAATAACAACGTCTTTATTAAAATTTTTTGGCGTTAAGACTCGCATATCGATCTACATTTTTTTAAAATAACTTGAAAAAATCGAACTGCCTAAGGAGGGAATCGAACCCACGACATTTCGCTTACCGAGCGACTGCTCTTAAATCTGAGCTACTTAGAGTCTAATAAATACGCGGAAATAACCACCATCAACATTCTAATAACGAAATTTTTATCGACATCACAAAAAACAACAGACATCACTAATTTTCTGGTTACAGCTGCTGATTCCCAGTTTAATAATTAAATAGGGGATCGAACACCATAAGTTGCTTAGAATGCTTTTATGAGTTGACAAAATTATATCTCCATGGCTTACGTATAAAATTTGAAATAACTTGAAAAAAATTGAACTGACTAAGGTTATCGCTAGAAAATATTAATAAAAATTTAAAATACCCAAATTCACGTTTGACATCACTGGTAACTTCTGCCTTTCCAAGTCAATTAAACAAATTACTTATTCAAATAAATGAAAATCGAATTGGTAAATACCAAATAACTTCATTTTTGTGCCTTTGTTCAGAAAATTACTCACATTCCATCAGGTGTCTGCATGTCAATAGTTTTTCCGTGGTGAGAAAAAATTGTGTTAGATTCTAAGCTAGACTTTTAGACGGGTTCATCAGCGTTAAACAGTTCGTGACATTCAAAGTGGCCAAAAAGTTGACAATACAACCTTATTCCAATAACAAAGACGTGTTGCGAACTTATTGGCTGCTTTGGGTGTCACGAATTATTTGACTACATCGATTTGGTGTCAGCCGATTCCTCATACAAATTGGAATCCTAGCTATCGGCCGACAAAATCTGTAGTCTACGAAGTATCTTAGGGCCAGATTCTCACCTGTTAACAACGTCCCAGAAACCTGGCTTTGGCTTATCACATGGTCCTTCCGTGGCCTGTTTGAAGTAGCTGTAGAACCTCAGCATCAACTCATTGCTGGGCTGGTACGATCCTGGGGACAAAGAAAGAGGAACCGTTAGAAACAATTCATTATCATCATCATTTCAGCCGCAGGACGTCCACTGTTGAACATACACCCAATGATTTCCACATCATCCGGTTGGTAGCGGCCTGCATCCAGCGCCTTCCTCCTCTACCTTTATGCGGTTGTCGGTTATACCAATAACAAATAGGTAAATAAGTTTTGTTAAAATGCTCTAAAAAGAAAATAAGAGACAAATCAAAGGAGCCCAAACACGACAGTGTTTCATCGTTTCGTCAAAGATTATCTACCATCTACATCTGGCAACCTTCCGGCTCCGTCATAAGATCAGCTCCGTGACATCATTATATTAAATTGTTATCTGAATTACATGTGTGCAAAATATCAGCTTAATCAGTGGTCTGGTCAGGATTTGTATCTAATTCAGTTTTCAAGATTTTGTGCCAAATATACACACATTGCAAGTTAAATAAAAGCTTGTAAATCTATACAGGGTGTCCCGTAATGTAACGTCAAGCCGGAACTGGGTGTTGAGGCAAGTTATGCTGGTTATCAGAAAAATATAAAAAAAAATCTATGTGGCATATTTTCAAAATAATGGGCATTTAAAAAAAAACAAAAATTTCTACTCCAGGTGACGGTCTTTTTACTCGTGTTGCCACAAATCTTCACTTTTTCCAAATTTTTTTTTGTTATGTAACCCTGAATAATGCTTCTCTAAATTGTTATCAAAATTACAAAACCAGCTGCTCCAACTTGGATGAAAAAAATACATTATTCCCAAAAAATTTTTCAAAATAAAAATTTTGCCTAGTTTAAACTGACTGTACTGAAAAAAAATTGTACTACGCGAATGTGGCAAGTGACGTCATAATTTGGCGCATTTAGTAAGGATTCCAAAATGGTATAACACTTGGTAAATTCTTGCTGTAATAAATTTTTTTGGGAATAATGTATTTTTTTCATCCAAGTTGGAGCAGCTGGTTTTGTAATTTTGATAACAATTTAGAGAAGCATTATTCAGGGTTACATAACAAAAAAAAAATTTGGAAAAAGTGAAGATTTGTGGCTACACGAGTAAAAAGACCGTCACCTGGAGTAGAAATTTTTGTTTTTTTTAAATGCCCATTATTTTGAAAATATGCCACATAGATTTTTTTTTATATTTTTCTGATAACCAGCATAACTTGCCTCAACACCCAGTTCCGGCTTGACGTTACATTACGGGACACCCTGTATATATAAAAGAAAGTCGTGTTAGTTACTTCGCTTATAACTCAAGAACGGCTGAACTGATTTAGCTGAAAATTGTCAGGGAGGTAGTTTAGAGCCAGGAGAAGGACATAGGATACTTTTTATCCCGTTCGAAATAAAAAAAAAGTCTGCTTATTTATTGCCATTAAGGCGGAACAAAGTTCGCCGGGTCAGCTAGTTTTACATAATACTTGTATGACATTAACTAGAAGTCGCCATGATTCTATTCCAAAATCATTCGCGCTCCAACAATAGCAACTGAATTCTGATTTATTACTGATTCGTAATGATGCGTGTTTACTGTTTACATTAACTCTAGTGCTAGTGGCAAAGGTCAACCGACTGTAATCAGACAAAGAACATTGATGGCAAGCCGTTTTGGCACTTAAAATCACTACAATAATGACTTGATTGCCATGAGATTTGTTGCTGATAAACTAATTTGTATTTAGTGTAGATACGCCTACTGCAATTTTCCAATCGTTCCTATCGTATTGAAACAGATGTTCTTCGACAAAATTGAAGCATAAATCAGTAAAAATAAAGCCACTGTCTTCTATTTTTCTTTAAGTTTAAAGCTGTCAATATTTTTTGTTAATTTGAAATTCAGGTAAAATCTACCTAACCAAAGCCTTTGACCCTGTTTCTTCGAAACGATGACTACAATTTCTGTGCTATTCATTTCACCTTGTAGATTTGGTTATGAAGAAAAACATTCGTTTCTATATTGAATAAAGAAATGCCAATTAACTAACTTCAATGGTTTTTAAGTCTCAGGTGTCCTACAGGGTAGAGTTTTTAGACCTTATTTGTTTTTCTTATTTTTACTTAGATGAACTTCATCATAAAAGATCAAATTAATAATTCTTCATTGCAATTCCCATAACTTAAAGATACAACATATAATGTTGTCCTCTCTAAATATTATTTAGGATGTCAATCCAGACGGATAATCTTATTACATACAGATTTGAAGTAAAAATGCAGCAGTTTGTCAATACATAACGAGTTGAAGCACATAATTATACACAGCCGGTTTACCTAACACTCCGGCACGGTGTCCGTGTAACCGCAGTATTAAATATAAGTAATTACTTGCGGTTTACTCCATTATCGGTGTTTAGTATAGGTAGGCACTGACTGATAGACATAATATTCCAGCTTTTTGCTTCAGTTGAATCTAAGTCAAGGAAGGTAAATAAATTAATAATAAAGCCGAAGTACCTAAACAATTTCTGCTAATCAGTTCGCACATGTTACTTTACCATAATGTTGTGTGAAAGGGACAAATAGATCAGAAAATAGGGTAAGCGAAGTGAGTTTGTTCGTAGGTACAGTCAGCGTCAACTAGTTCGTGACACCCAAATCCCAAAGTTGTGTTGACAACTTTTTGGCTACTTTGGACGTCACGAATTATTTGATGCTGACTGTACCGAGACAAACAGAAGAATTTATCAATCTACTAGAGTCTACCGTGTATACTCTATGTGGTTTGTTGACAATTATTTATTTATTAGAGAACGTGTAATAAACAGTATTTGAAGTCTCTTTTGTTAAGTCACGTCGTAAAATGTTACTAATTATGTGTATACTAATTCACTGTAAGAGAATAATCAAAGCAGACTGTTTTATTCCAAGTAAGAACATCGATAGCAACATACTGTTTACTATACCTACTATCACCGCTACATCTGTTGTGCAATTCACCAGTATTTACTTGACGTCATCATTATCATCATTAGATCATTAGTCTCCACAGCTGGACCACGATTTTATCTAAATGGCCTGAGATGAACGTAGTGTAGGCAGATCTTCCACTCAATGGACGACTAGTGAAGGTCTTCACTGGTTGAGTTTTTATTGGCGGTCAAGCTGTAGATCCTGGCTACACAGGAGTCGCAGCGGTGGGAACGAGAGGTGGGAATAGTCCCGTTAGTGAAGGTTGCGGGAGGCACCTGGAAGCATGCGGGCAGCGCATGACCGACCCTTATGAATCTTTGGGGAAGGCCTTTACCTAGCAGTGGACATCATCATCATTACCACAGGACGTCCACTGCTGAACATAGGCCTCCCCCAATGATTTCCACATCGCCCGGTTGGCAGCGGCCTGTATCCATCGCCATACCACCTTTATGAGGTCATGCCACCTTGTGGGTGGACATCTCTAAGTTGAAACAAACGAACGAAAATGGTAAATCTCTTAATGTCGTTTTTATAGTAAACACGTACGAAAATAACGTGCACATTGACCGGTTCAAGGGCGCTCGGACCGGTGTGACTGGTCCGCACTGCATTGCGTTCAACTGGGCCGAGTAAAAGTGCGGAGGTCAACTTGAAATGGTTTTTATTGCAATGATAAGAAGAAAACATGATTTCTGCCAATGAGAAGTTGAATGAAACAGCTGTAAGGACGAGGGAAGATTGTACTAAACACTACAGTGTTTCGAACGAACGAGCGATTAACGGCATAGATGTACACATCTATGCCGTTAATCGCTCGTTCGTTCGTTTCAGCCAAATGACGTCCACTGCTGGACAAAGGCCTCCCCCAAGGTTTTCCACAATGAACGGTCCTGCGCTGCCCACATCCAGGCTCTTCCCGCGACCTTTACCAGATCGTCGGTCCACCTAGTAGGAGGTCTGCCCACGTTACGTCTCGGATTGCTCGGATCAAACTCCCCGCACCCCGCGCTTCCCTCGACCAAAAATTGTTGGGGCGCGTCTTCGTGGATGGAACGATCTATACCATCATCAGAGTATTAAGATTAACTCTCTTATAGCTTACTTTACCACATGTACAATTACATCACTGACCTGGATGGCTGATGTGCCAACTGCCATAAAGAAACAAAACATTAGTATTCGAAACATGATCTTCAAGTCCCAAAGAATCTACAGTGTCATTTCTACCAATAAAAGTGTGCACAGCTTGAGGAGTGTAGACCAGATCCTATTTTTTGCTCTGGTATATTAGAAGGTCGTGCTCCTGAAATGGAGACTAAGTAACCTGATTAATGATGATGATAAAAAGTATCACGAGACTAAATATCCTGATAATGATGAAAATAATCACGAAAAAAATGTGTGATTGGTTAAAAAACCCAACCACGTTTGGACTAATTGTTATTAGTTCCGGTCGAAATATTACTTGAATCGTGATGGTTAATATGTAATTAATAGAGTTTTAATTGAAGCCGCGATAGCCGGTGAAGGGATCGGACTAGCCGACTGGACATCCGAGGAACGCGGATTTGAACCCCGCCGCTCGATTTTAGTGGTGAGCCCGCTCGTGACACAAACATATTTAGCTTAGAACGAGGGGCTAACGGGACTATTAGTATTTTTTGCAATAGAAATGAATTACTAATATTCTTTTAATTCACAAGGTGGACCTGCGACCTCATAAGCAGAAACGCGCTGGATGCAGGCCGCTACCAACCGGGCGATGTGGATTCATTGATCATTGGTAGGCCTAGTTCAGTAGTGGACGTTCTTTAAAAAAAAACGATTGGATGCTGTTTTCTGTTCCCGGACAATCGTAATATGCTCTAAGCAAAGTCAAAGTCAAAGTCAAAATTTCTTTATTTGTTTAGACTAATAAATAGTTCTTACAAATCGTCATTTTGCTCTTAAGGAGCCTCTACATGTCTCATAATCTTTTTACCCTACCAGCGCTTCGAGACCAACATTTGGCAAGTGCTGAGAAGAAGCGCCGCAACAAACTCAGTCACCACTGTCTGTCGGTTAATATAAATAAATAGAAATAGCAGTAGTAGGTAGGTAGCAAGACAAGCATAAAAGTTAATGAACCGTGCGTACTGCATAACATCCTCCGGTTAAGATTATAGCACCCGTTCGACCATGACTTCATGTGTAGAAAGCATGCTGTAGGCTCGTCGACAAAAATGACTGACGCTTCTGGAATATAATGGTTGCAGTTGGAAAACACGGTACTATTCTCACCTCTCGTTTCCACCGCTGCAACTTCTGTGTAGCCAGGATCTACAGCTTCACCGCCAATAAAAACCCAACCCGTGAAGGTCAAGTTTAAACTGTCACTAGACCCGCAACAAAATTAATCAGAAGAACATAGGAGGAACTCGAAGTTGGTTTGACTTCCCTCCAGTGCAAAGCGGATGACACATGTGATAAAACAAAGGAAAAATGTGACAGATACGATACATTCTACAACAGAATTACTTGAGATATTGTGACATCAACATAATGCATGTAATTTTTTTTATTTCATTGGATAGAAAGAAATTCATTCATTACATTCATCATTCTGCAAATGCTACTTTAACGACGATCTCAAGACGTAGGCTTACTCGATCAAGGTTTGAAAAAGTGTTTACTTTGCAATTAGCACTTGCTTTACGATCGTAATTTTACAACTCGTATACCTGATAAATAAACTTGTATCAAGGTTTACGAGCCCGCGCATTAAATTTGGGTTCAAGTACAGATTCAATTCTTTATTGGTATGAAGGCCCTTTTAACGCTGAAAATCATCTTTGTAACGAAGGCCTTTGTGAGTCGCAATTATTAAGTAGAGTCACAGAATGTTATCATTTGTCTCATTGCAATGGGCATCGAAATTGCGACAACTGCTCAGTCGGCTATTTCTTCATTCTCCAGCTACTGTTACGTGCCTTTTATGTTTCCTATTTGTATAATGCTACTGACAACGCCACTCTTGTAATTTTGACCGACACTGTGTAGGTTTGTTGTCGACACGACAAGAAGAAGATTTGTGTGCCGGACGGTATGGGGTAGCAACCCTGTGCGGACCCTGAATACCGTACGCCGACACGGCGCGATGCGGGGTGCAGCGCGAGCGGGGAGCGAGACGAAGAGGGGCGGGGAGCGCAGAAATAATAACGCTGGTTGNTGAACATAAAAAATAAGTTATCTAAATATAATATGCTACTACAGTGTTATAATAAAAAATGATTTTGTTTGTGGCCTTTAGATACAATAATTAACCACAGACAATTTGGTCACAAATATTGCATGTGTCAATAATTACATTATGAAATCTGCGGTGTTTTATTAAATTTATATATCATTAGACTACCTATGATAAAATTACATAGTGTGAGGTTTGAGTAAAAATCCATGCTGGATTAATTGAACTACTGATGAGCGCATTGAACCCCAGGGCCAGCGTGCATGTGCTCTTCGTCATCACTAGCATATGCTTCCTCTCGGCCACGACCCCTTTCACTAGCTGTATACTCCATAAGGTTTACTTCTTCTACATCCTCTCCAGTGGGCATAACAAAGGCAGCGCGTGGTGGAAGTATTGTTTCAATTTGTTTTAATTGTTCTTCAGTTGCAAAGTTATTTTCAGGGAACACAACATCAAATTTTATGTACAAGTTTCCTTTCTCAAATGGATTTTTATATTGCGGCATTCCTTCACCCTGTATGCCTTTTAAATCCCCTGGCTTTATAATTTCTCCTGGGGAATGTCTGACAAGCAAGTCCCTGCCATCCAAATGCTTAACTACAAACTCGAAACCACATAGAGCCTCAGTCAGACTGACCTCACGTTTCATGATGAGATCATCACCAGTTCTTTGAAACACATCATGAGCCTTTTGCTGTAGCACAATAATCACATCTCCAGGTTGGGTGTCAGGCTGTTGATCTCCTTCACCTCTGAAGAATATCTTCTGATTTTCACGCATTCCCTTTTCAATATGCACTTCCAATATTTTTGTCTCATTTAAGACTTTCTTGCCCTTGCATTTAGGGCACTTGTCCTTCTCATTAATGGTTTCTCCCTGACCTTGGCATGTCGGACAACGAGTTTGGTACTGGCGAGTCATATGTGGCGCAATCTGCTGATACGAGACTTTGATACCTTGACCGTGGCAATCTTTACACGGCACAACAGCACCAGGTTTTCCACCAATACCTTTACAAGGGCCGCAAATCACATTTTTACTGAGCTGCAGTTTCGCTGTTTTTCCGACATACATATCTTCTAGTGTCACTTTTAGTGGATGGATGGTGTCTTCGCCTCGAGCTGGTCCTCGACCTCTGCTGCCACCACCCATCCCGAAAATATCACCAAAGAATTGTCCAAATATGTCATCCGGCTGAAACCCTCCCTGGCCACCACCTTCTTGTAAACCTTTCAACCCATGCTTGTCGTAAATTGTTCTTTTCTTTGGGTCGGACAATACTTCATAAGCGTAACTGATTTCCTTAAATTTGTCACCGGCAGCTGGATTTTTGTCCGGATGAAATTCTTTTGCCAACTTGTGGTAGCTCTATAAACATAAAAAGTGACGCAATATTAGTAAAAGTTCGAGATCACCTACACAATGGATAAAATCACCATGCAATGTATTAATGACATGTGTCCATGATGTTGAATACAATGATGCGGTAATTGATGGATTACAAATTCTTTTTTATTTTATGACGCGTTGCTTACCCTTTTTATTTCAGATTCACTTGCACTTCTTGGGACTCCCAATATTTCGTATAATTTGTTATCAGCCATTTTTCCCTCAAGATGTAAAAGAAAGAAGGGATCAAGGAATGAGGAAGTAATTGAGTGAGTGAAATGACCAATGAACTACAAAAGAATGAATGAGTGAGTGAGGCAAACAATTTGAACCATAGACAAAATAGAATGAAACAGACATGGCTGGCCATACAAAAAAAATGCCATTGAGTATTTCATTGGAGTTTGGAGTAGTAGTCAGAGTGAGTCAGAGAGGAGAGGGAACCGTAAGCATACGTCACTTGATACTTGATTGTTCCAAGCTTATCACAACTTTTCTGAACGTGTTACAGGCTAACTCCAGCGCGTGTTTTGCCCGACACAATCAACATTCATTCACAGTTTTACAAAAAATGCCTACAAGGCAATTTTGATGACATTAACAGGAGGGCGCCACCGTCAATACCGGATCGCTGGTTCCGATTTTTGCCATGTTAGAACCTATATACATATTATAGCTGAACGATGGTGGGTGGGACAGTTCGTAGTTCATTTATTAGTTTTTCAACCATTGTGTCATGAGTTAGGCAAAGGCTCAGGGCAAAGGCAACGAACGAACGAAACAGTGCTAACTACACTACAAGTGCAACATCACTTCAAGTTTTCACACGTGTAGGTATTTTGCTTGACACTTGTGACACTGGCGACTGGCTGGCTAAATATACAGTGTGAGTCACGTTAAAGTGTACATATGAAAATAGATAAAACTAGACCTATTTTTATCGACAAAAAAGAGGTCAAATTTTTTTTGAGATTTTTTTTAATTTTTTATAGATTTTTTTTTCTTACAATTACTTATTGTAAAGAAAACGTAATAACTTTTAAACTAAGCGGTATATCCTGATAAAATAAAATCAGTAATAATGCTAAATAACAGGCAATACTGAAAAAATACATAAGATACCCAGAAAATGCCAACAAATACTAAAAAAATGAGACTTTTTGAAAAAAATCTGCTTTAAAATTCGTATTTTTTTGGTTATTTGATAAATTTATCAAAAAAATGCCCCTATAACAGGTGATTTTTATTACTTTTTATTATTCTCTATCGTATTATCTTTGTACAACCAAAAATCGCATGTCTCTATCCCTATCACAACTATTGCTATGATCGTTTGAACAAAGGCCTGCCACAACATTATTCTCCGCTACTGGTAGAGACAATTTTAATTTTAACTAAAATGCTTATTTTACTTCGAAATCTTTTGTTTTTATTTGAAATCTAACTTTTCTTTATCAAAATTACAAATCTAGAGCCATTTTCATTTTCGTTGTTAATGAAGCGTGGAATGGCGCGCCCGGAGAGGCTTAGTTCAAACAATCATTGCAAACGTTGTGATAGGGATAGGGACATGCGATTTTTGGTTTTACGAAGGTTATACGATAGAGAATAATACAAAGTAATAAAAACCACCGGTTATAGGGGCATTTTTTGGATAAATTTATCAAATAACCAAAAAATCACGAATTTTTAAGCAGATTTTTTTCAAAAAGTATCATTTTTTATTACATGTTGGCCATTTTTGTGTATTTTATGTATTTTTTTAGTATCGCCTGTTATTTAGCATTATTACTGTTTTTATTTTATCAGGATATACCGCTTAGTTTAAAAGTTATTACGTTTTCTTTATAATAAGCGAGTGAGCCGTGACCATGGTGTAAGTGTTTTTTCAGACTGTTTCTGGGTGCTTTATTTTGAAATTTTTGTACTGGACGATACAAAAATAAAAAATACGTGTTTTGTCTTTCGCTTCATAGATTATTATATTAAAATTTGGATACTGATACAAAAGTCACCCTGTATAGTTCCAAAATACTGAACTGTCCTATCGATGACATTGACAGCGGGGCGCCACCGTCAATACCGAATCGCTGGTTCCGATTTTTGCCATGTTTAGTCCAGTCATTTAAGCTTAAATTAGGTAAGAATCTCGGAATTAGAGATACCCAGCTGTAAGTCTGTAAATACTTGTATATTGACACCCTAAAAGTTGTCTCAAAACCTACATATGGTAGGGTGTAAGCAACTATTAAATTTTAAGGTCAAAGGTCACAAAAATCGGTNCTTGAAAAAAAAAAAACAAATTTAACTAAAACTAAAAGCAAAACAAATTTAACTTGAAAAAATCAAGTGGTTCCCGAGCCTATGAGCGGGAATCGAACCCGTGCCTCTTGGAATATACCCAATTGAAGAGCAATATTCTTAGCGGTCGGTAATAGAAACAGAAAAAACGTTAATAGAAACACACCTCGTCTATAGGTCGGTAATAGAAACAACTGCTTATTCAGATTAAATTGCTATTTATTAATTATTGTGTGATTGAATACTCATTGTTACTACTTGAATTCAAAGATTACTTCATCATTGTTATAAATAAATTAAAGTGTCTTTTCTATCACCACGTCTTATATCTAATTTTCTAACGTTTATCCGAAGTCAGCTTAAACTGGCGGTAATAGGCGCATTTACGTTACTTATGTTATGATGCGAATTAAAATTTAATGTTGCATTTTTTCAATTCCTAAACAGATTTTTCAGGGAATTAGTTAATAATTTTCCTATTAGGTATTTGGTAGGTATATGTAGGTATAGCTACATCATCATCGTTATGTTTTAACCGTTAATAATGAATTATTTTACAAAATAACCATTTTACCGAAGTTAAGAATAACATCCTTGTATAACAGTGAGGAAAGTGCGAGAAAATATCGTTTCTTTTAAGTTGATTCGATCAGAAATCGAATCTGTGACCCACTGCGCTCAAAAAGCGATCACCGCACCACTACCTACCTCTACGCCATCCATCAAATTAGCATGCCATTAATTTTAAAAAAGTTAAGAGACGTTTAGTTTCACCTTGATCCTTCTATACTTCTGTATTATCTGTGAAAAAGTTTTTGAACTTTATTTATTAGTTGTACAGTAGAGACAGACTCGTACATAATGCAATCTGTAATACCTACTCCGACATTTTAATTAATTTTCATTATCACAAACTCCACTATAAGTATCATAACATTAACCTCAATAGATTAACTAAAAGATTCATTCATAGCAACAGACCGCGAAATTTTGTTGACGTTAACAACGGTTGCCATGACAACGGAAAATTTGTGTAATCAATATCATTCCATTTTCGAAACTAAAATGTCTTACTGCACACAGTACCGAGCGCAATGCGACACTTGAGTTCGAATTTTGAATTTTATTTTTAAATTTTCGAAATAATTAGGATTTTGTTTTTTGTTTTCTTTTTAAAAATGTGAAAGTGACGAAGGAGTTTGTGAAATGAGTACCTACTTCCCGTATAGGCGGCCGTCGAAACTGAACGAGTATGGCCTGAAGAGGGTGCCGGACTACACAGAGCTAGCCTACAAGGAGGCTGTGTCCAAGCTGAGATACTTCTTGTCGGGGAACTATGCTCCAAGCGTAAGTCTTTTTGAACCTACTTTCGAAAACTTTTTCGAACTAAGTAGGTACTTGAGTAACTATGTACTTACAGATACAGCAAAGGAAAATAACTAAGTTTAAATTATTAAATTAATGTTTTTGTGTCTGTTTTTTATTTTCAATTTAGACTGAACTTGTACTGGCCATGGTATTCTACCTACATACTCTTATAGGTACCTACTTATCTGTCCGATTGTTTTAATTTTTTCTCTAACAATCTTTGTGCGTTATCCCGTCTGCCCAGGGTGGCGAGTGTAGTCCAAATCCTCCATTAGCCTCTGATGAATGAAAGAAGACCGTTCTCCTGTAGTTTGTAGTTCTTTAGATGATGAAGAAGAGGATGATGATGATGAGTCCTACCTTCTCACAGGTACGCAGCTATGGCGGGTCTCCCTCCATCAAGAACCTGGACGAGTCGGACGGGGATCTGGACAAGAAGTACTCTTCGCCATACCACGCCCTGGCGGAGTACAAGCCACGCCCGCGTCTTACTGCCAAGTACGCCACGCTGTATGCCGATAGTCTGCACAACTATACGCCGCAGCATCACACCACTACTGGTAAGTAAGTGCCGGCAACTGTGAACTCTGTGGTACTTAGAATAAGGGGGATCTTGCCATACCACGCCTTGGCCGAGTACAAGCCACGCCCGCGTCTTACTGCCAAGTACGCCACGCTGCATGCCGACAGTCTGCATAACTATACGCCGAGGCATCATACCACCACTGGTAAATGAACTCTTTGGTACCTTAAATAGGAACGATTTTGCTATAACAATATATCCTGGTGTTGTCGACTGAATATCACCCAGTACGCCACAGAATCATATCACTAAAAACTATTTCCACGTCTCGTTCCCACCGCTGCAACTCCTGTATAACCAGGATGTACAGCTTGACCGCCAATTAAAACCCAACCAGTGAAGGTCAAGTTTGTCCCGGGGAAAAGTTTTAAACAAAAGCATCGTCGCACCAAATTAATGGATTAGGTGCGTTTTTGCTACAACAATATGGAGTCTAGAACTTATCGGTGTAATTCGGATTTCGGAGTAAGAACTAGTTCTTCGTTAGTAATGATAGATGGTGCAAGGAACGGTAAACTTTGTGGCAAAAATGTGATGCCTGGTGCCATCGACTATAAATGCTCAAAACGTCTCATTAGAATGAGTCCTAATTTTATTTATCTTAGTACCAGCACCAACAACGGGGTCTGGAGGCGGGGACCTGTCAGGCGGCACCAACCCCGACGTGGTGAACTTCATCCAGAAGCAGGAGGAGTACATAGAGCAGCTGGAGCGCGAAAGCCAGTACTGCAGGGTGAGATCTCTTTGTTTTTCCATTTTTTCTTTTTATTTTTCTCCTATTTTCCTGATAAATCTGTTTTGAACTGTGTTCAATTTGCTGCAGCTTGTCCTTATTTTTATTAATTAAAAAGTGCACTTATTCCTTTATCGTATTTTACGTGAGCATGTCAGACTTTTTTAAATGATGAACCACCATCTGACATGGTTAATTCAGGCTTTATTTGCCCTCCGAAGCACGACATTGACACAGCTATTCTAAAGAATACCTTTCGGATATATCAGAAATTTCGAATGTATCCATCCCTCCCATGTAAAGTGACAGAAAAACCCGAAAATACTGTGAAGGTGTTAGAATATGGCCCCACAGAATATCCTAACCGCAACTGATGGGGTATTCTAAGGCTGAGTTGCACCACCTAGCTTTAACCGTAACTACAACGATAAACCGGTGTATTTTGTATGGAGTTTAACATATTTTTGGCGTTTGTTAAAGTTAAAGTAAGATGTTGCAACCCAGCCTAAGCTTCTAACAAATATCTTCTGGTCTGCGAGCACGTAGAATTTTGTCCAATTTTGTCCTGCGGGCGCCCGTCGCACAATCGCGAGAGCAATATAATTACGCGCAAGCGATAAGGATGGGTAGCTTGGGGTCATTGGACAAAATTCTACGTGCTCACAGACCGGGATTTACACAAAATCCTTTGTCTAGGATGAGTTGAACAACCTCCTCGGGAAAGTCAAAGAGGTGATATCCGAGAACGAACATCTGCATGAAGCTCAGAAGAACAAGCTGATCTCCCGAATGTTCCACTCGTACAACGCTGGCTCGGAAACCGATGAGCTGGACGATATAGGAGATAGCACTGGCCTGGACAGCGACCATAAGGTAAGAGTGATGGACGGACGATCTCAGGACAAAAGCTGGTAGTGCTAGTGAGTGGATCAAGTAAGATCCATGGGCCAACGATGAGTAAGACCCCCCTGGTTCAGTATAATTAGTCGTTATTGCCGCCGCATACCTCTGCTCAAAGGACCTAAGGACGATCTGATAGAGGCTCCACCCCCGCTACTCAATGAACTGATTACCTCAAGAAGATCTTGTAGTGTCTTACTGAATTATGTTAGCATACCTAATGAATCGTTAACTTTGAAGTTTATTAAAGTTGCTGAACATCAATGTCCAATGAACTGATAATTCATCAGATCTCTGACATTTACTAAACATCCTTCCTACCTAATCGGTCCATCTTACACTAAGAACTTGGAACTTGTTTCTAGCTTTTAATTTTCATTAATTACTACTAATAGATTCGTCTTTTCCGCAGCTGTCACCATCCAAAGGCCGCAGGTCGGCCAAGGTCCGGTCCACCAAATTGGAAGGCCCTAACATAGTCTTCGAGTCCCGCATTGCTGAGCTGGAAGCCCAGCTCACACAGGCCAAGATCGACCTTAAGAAAGTGCAGGTAAAGATCAATTTCAAGTACTGTATCTAATTCGTCACGAGGAATCATCATCATCAGCCATAGGACGTGCACTGCTGAACATAGGCATCCCTCAATGCTTTCCATGTTGATCGATTGGTAGCGGCCTGCGTCCAACGCTTTCCTGCTACATTTATGATGTCGTCGGTCCACCTTGTGGGTGAACGGCCCACACTGCGTTTTCCGGTACGCGGCCTCCACTCCAGAACCTTGCTGTCCCATCGGCCATCAGTTCTGCGTACCTACTATGTGCCCTGCCCATTGCCACTTCAGCTTGCTAATTTAATCCGTCGGGCTATTCAGCGACTTTAGTTCGTTTACGGATCTCCTCATTTCTGATTTGATCTCGTATGAGGAATCAACCGATACCAAATTTGTGTAATGTGCGCACATCCATACATGTTCACTAATCAGCAGCCTGACCAAACTATCGGCCGACTAAAAGTCTGTAGTATCACTGCTAGTCAAGTTCTTAAGTAGTTATTTTGGTTATTTACTGTTTCATTTTCGCAGGAAGAAAATAATGAGAATAAACGCAAACTAGCCTCTGGGCTTGTTGACTCATCGTGCCTCGACGGCTTCAAAAGGCAAATTGATAATTTGCAAAGGTAAGTTTAGATTTCTTTCAAATAAAGCCTCTTTTGTGTATTTCTTTCTTTTCTTGTTTTGTGTGGTGTTCAATTATTATAGATCTATCTATCTGTCCATCCACTACACTTCACTACACCTCCACCTTCCTTACTAATATTAAATAAACCCCTTACTTACGTAAGAATAACTTAAAGGAATTTTTGAACAACAGCTTGAATCACATCGTGTATTTAACTCGTAGATAATTCTTATTGTCTTTTATTTTGTGTCATACAGTACAAAAACACACATATCCAGTTGTTGTTTATCTTTACCCTAAAAAACGGGACTATTTCCACCTCTTGTTTCCACCGCTGCAACTCCTGTGTACCAAGATCTACCTACCTACTGGGTCTACTCTGGTATTATGATAGTTTTAAGATTTTACATTTCTAGTTAAATTAAGCTTTATCTTTACCCTAGGGACAAATCCTCTCTAGAAGCGCAAATATCGAAGCTGAAGTTGAGCCTGGAGCAGAAGGACAGTGACCTGGACGGACGGTACAAGCGCGGGACAGACGCAGTGGAGCAGCAGCTTAGGGATGAGAGGAACAACCTGGAGGCTGAGATACGCAGGCTCAAGGTGAGGCTGAAGGATGAAGATGACAGATGGCCAGTTGGACGAAGATTGAAAACTAGTTCTAATAGTCATTTGTTTGAATAACGAAACAAAGTCCACTTCCATCAGTTAGAGAGCCAGCATCACAAAAATAACATTTTTGAATTTCGAAAGAAAATTTTAGTTACGAGGGCTTGCATCGGGCAAGCCATACAATGTAAAAACAAAGCAATATTTTTGACTTCAAAAAGTTTAGTTCTTTATTAAAACCGTCAGTTGTTTTCAAGAATGATTTAAAAACGAACGCGCGTCCTAAGCGCGCTAGCTGAAAACGACGCGCGCGCGTCAATACAAGAAAGTTTTTGAATTTCGAAAACTTTAAAATCGTCATCTGTTTTCTAGGATGATTTGAGCAAAGAATGTAGCAAAGTCGACAAGCTGGCTGGCGAGAATATGCGTTGGGACATTTCATTTTACTTCTATGGTGTCGGGCATTTGAATTTCGAAAACTTTAGTTCTTGAAATCTGTTCGCCAGGACGATTTGAATAAAGAACGCAACAAAGTTCGCGAAATGGCCGGCGAGGGAGCGCGTCGAGCTATCCAAGAGAGGAGCGCGGCGGAACAGCGATACAACGCGCACTTTGACGAGCTGCAACACGATCTAGCTGCGCAATACGATAACGTGGCTAAGTTGCAGGTAAATAATATCAATTTTCGTAATCATTTATTTAATGCCTTTAGGCTTAGTCCGCACTACGGTTTTTACCCGCAAGCAGTAAACCGCCAAACCGCGAGACCGCCCGAAACGTAACATGGTTATAAAATCACGCGGTTAAAAAACGCGGCGGTTTAGCCGTAGTGCCGACTCGGCCTTAAGTAGATTCACACATTGAGCCGAAAATGTTGAGTCACTTATTGCCGCTACGTCGAATCTACGAAATCTTTTTTCGCTAAGGTTAAAAACGCTCTAAGCTAGCGACGTCGACTCTACGATTTCTGTCCCATTTCTATTCCTATAAAGTTGACTTCCTTCTTCTTCTTCTTCTATTAGTTATATTGACTTTCAGCCTTTATTACGACTGCAAGCTTCTATCAAATTGTTTTGAGTCAGTCAGGTCTTTTTACTGAGGTCAAAATCTTAACTTATTATTATCACCAGCTCGACTTGGAGCGCCAACGTCGCGAAGAAAACGACTTGAAGCGAGAGCTGTCCATGAAGAACTCTGCCATCGACGAGCTAAAGATGGAGTTAAAGAATAAAACATGTAAGTCCCATGCTAAAGACTTAGCTGAAACTCCTATGTAGCCAGAATCTACAGCTTGAAAGCCAATAAAACCCTGGATCTTTCTTTCTTTTGTGTGACTGAGTTTATTTTTATGTTGCTGATGATGAACTTCTTCCAGCATCTCTGCAAGCAGACCTGGCTCAAGCCCATGCTGAGAAGGCGTCCCTGGATGAGGAGCTGGCCAGCGCCAGGCTGGCTATCGAGCGCCACCAGCGTCAGAACAAGCATGAGACCAACCGCTTGAACTCTGAGGTGAGGACTCTTATCTCATTGATCTGGGTTTACTTTGATTAATTTGATATGTCTTCAATATCCCTGAAATCTTAATAAATATTTTTAAGACATTACGATATCAATTCGCATAAAATTATTATTTTCCAAAGATTCGCCTTTCGGTTGTCTGCTCTCGGTCCAGGGTCAGGCAAGTCCATCTCCGAAACACGAGGTCCATGATTGTCTTACAGTATCCGACAAATAAATACATAGAGATGACAAAGGTTTATAACATCCTAATCACATAAACTATACTACGAGTTGATAGTATATCATTTTTGTCTCCACAAATCGAACCAAAAATTGACCATCTACATCCAAAATGACATAATAAATTCCATCTTTTCAGATCCAATCTCTCCGTCAACGTCTCGACCGAGCGGATGCAGACTTAGTGCACTCGCGTCGAGAGAACTTGCGTCTCACGGAACAGATAGCCAATCTTGAGAAAGAGGTAATTAACTGAAATCTTTTTCTACAAAATTCTAATCCAAATTTTATGACGCCAAGTATTTTTTTTAAAAGGCATCATTCGAAATCAGCGATGTTGAATTGTTCACAGATGAACATGAAAAATTTGACTCCAATTTCACCGGAGAAGAAGAAGGATAAAGAACTGTCCACGATGCTAGAATCGATGGAGAACAAGCATGGTACGTAAGTCACAGTTACACTAAACTCACAATTACTACCAAAACTGCCATTTACTTAGGAACTATTAAAATAAAAACAAAACCCGAATTTATTGTAGCGGTGTTGTCATCTTATGGGTAAACTATTGATGTTTTGAAATAGACTTCAATATTTCTATTTCAATTCCAAATTCTACTACCAACTAATTCAAAACATTCATATTTTACCCTTTCATTTACTGCGCTTGCATGTTCCATAGTTTTTGAAAGGGCTTCTCAATGTTGTTGTTGATCAATAGTTTATTCATCAGATTGTTTAAGTTACCTGCGTGTCTTTCCCGCCTTAGAAAAGAATTTTGGATAGCTCCGGTTTAGAAGACTATGTCGAGTTTAAACCAAGAACCTTTGGTTCCACAGCTAAAACGGTGGCTGAGTTGGAGTGCATGATACAATCACAAAACAGTCTGATGGAGAAACTCACCGGTGAATGTCGTTTGCTAACAGACAAGCTCGACGACGCAAATCGTAGGCACAAGTACGAAATATTTTCAACTTTATTAGCATGATCATTTGATTCACATTAACTTAATTTATGTAAACTTGCACGTACTAAATTCCTTGTATTGTGATCATTACCCATTTTGAAAATTGAAACGTTTGTCTAACGTCGTGCTGTGTTTTCATTGGTGGCAGGCAGAGCGCAGAGTCGCGGCCGTGCAGACGAACCAATCAGAACACAGCGCGACCCCTCAAGACCTCGAGACCCACCAGTAGGGACCCGCCGTTCCAAACGCCGCTCCGAAAAAGAGTCCGATTCGTCGAATAAGTACCCCCCAATCATTGTTGGGCCGCTGACGACAAATCAGGATCTCACTGACGTCAAAGGAGAGAGAGTATACAACCTACCGCTCATGATTCAACAGCCCTTTTTACGGGAGAAAAAGGAGCCAATCAAGGTTGACATCAGCGTTAAGTTAATACCAAAATCTAAAAAGAAAGACAAAAAGAAACGCGAAGCACAAGTAGAGGAAATAGTTATACAAGCAGAGGAAGAAAAAGGCGTGAAAAACACTATTAGCATGGAAGTGGTAGATGGATCCATTCAAGTTTTAAAAGAAACAGTAGAAACGGTAGATAGCGATAAGCCATGCGAAGAAAGTAGTCAGCAGCAAGCGAAAGAAGCAAATTCAGAAATAAGTAAAACAGAGTTAGACGAAGCTAATCGAACTGAAGAACCACAAACTGATGATCCTGCAGATCAGAAGGCTACTGAAACTGTCGATTCAAAGGAACCAGCTCCAGATGAGATCACAACTTCACCTGTTGAAATCGAAAGTACAGCTGAAATAACAGATAATATACCTCCTGAAATTGAGGTACCAAGTCCATCCGTTGACAAAGAAATAGATGAAAATGTAAATGCGGAAAATATAACCACTGAAGAGACATAATACCAAATAATAAATACTATATTTTTGACTGTTATTGATAATGATGGAATTGAGAAATGATTTTCAACAATAAAATGTATACCTGATACGTATTAAAAGTTAATCTAACTCTGTAGCTTCGTTCTATGCTAAATGCTAATACATTTTTATATTCGAGTAGTTTAGGAAAATTCGATTAGCCAAATCGCTTGTCTTTCTATTGATGTGCAATATATTGTTAAGTTATTCCTTTACTTCTAGTTATTAATTGTGTTGGTCTATTTTACTAAGTTAATGTTAGTAATTGAGTTTATTATTAAAATTGCTTACGATTTTGTACGAGTTACTTACATTATTTTGTAGACAAATTGTTAAAATTTATGTGCAAATTATTCATGTGTTTGTGTTAGTTGGTTGTTAACGTTTTATGAATTTCGCTTGAAGCTTTGTAATCCGTATTATTATAGTACAAATTGTATCTTTGGAATTGATGAAAATGGGTAATGATTACTAAGTACATTTATTTTCATGTAATATTAATATTGGTGTGCAATAAAATGTGTAGAATAAACGTTATTTATTTTAGTTATAGCGATACAAAGTAATATTACAGTAGCGTTCATGTAATGGACGTTTTCTCTAATTCTATAAAATGAAATGCATACTGAATTGGTTTCAAAATTTGTCCATTACTATTGCATTTTAGTAGCACGTCAACTCACGAACCAATTTTCATTTCAGAGCAGACAAAACACAATTGCTTTGCAGGAACGCTGAACTTATGAGAAAACTGAGAAACCTGTGGTCTTCTCATAAGAAATATTGCACAACCACTATCACCCCGTTCCGAAGCTACACGCCTTTAAGTGGATATCCAAATAGCAGGTCGTCTTACGACTTAGACCGCACATACTACACTTCTACCCCTTACACGAACCGAAATAGATTTAGGCGTGATGACTTGAGCTCAAAATTTGACACACCTAGAGATGAAATTGGCGATTTGTCGAGGAATCTAAGCGATTTGTCTATAGATAGAATCGGTGACTCTGACGATGATCCAGTGAAGGTAACGCGTGATTAGATGATCAATATAATCAATGCATTATAATCATACTATTTTCACTTGTTTTTTTTTAGTGGTCACTGCGTTTTATAGCTAGTATAAGCACTTATCTAGATATACACCGATTAGCAATTTGAAGTTTAGTAATGTCTACAGCAGTTTAATTTATTTAGATTAACTAGTCAACCCATTTGGTACCCATTTATGTGATATAATCAGATAAATACATCATTTAATAATGTATTAATAATGAAATTTTGATCGACTTTAATTTGTTGAAAGTCTTTTTCATGATCAATTTAAGTACTCCAATTGCAATATATTTTGACAAAAACTGCATGCAAATGTATGCTTCCTAAAAAGATGTTTTATTTATGTAAGGATATTATTTTGCACGCGTGTGTGTGTTATCACGTTGTGGTGTGCTACAGGGAAGAACTGGCCACTCTGCAGCGTCAAGTAGACACCCTCGGGCGGTCGCTGCAACCCTCTCACTCAACCTCACCTAGCGTTTATCAAGGTATGGTAATTTAACAAAACTAGTTCCAGAAGCCAGACATTTATTTTGATAATGATGAAGCTATAAAAGATCTAGACACAGCTTTAGTGGCCTTTACTTTGTGTGACTGCTGGACAAAGGCCTCTCCTAAGGATTTCTAACGACCGGTCGTGCGCTATCCGCACCAGGCCTTTATACTTACAGCAATATTTGAGGATTTGAAATATCTTACAAACTACGATACATAAATTTAGATTGATGTATATAAATTGATTAATTGTTTTTTTATTCCAAGAAAAACTTGCTTTTTACTTAACACGATGTGACAAANGTAAAAAATAGAGCTGCCAACATAATATTGACTACTGTAATTCTTATACTTGTTTTCAATCTTATTAATAATATTTTCAGCACCACCCACGCACGCGTCCTCAACCAACAGAAATGTACCACATACCCAAACCGCTCCCAGACCAGACAATTCCAGAGATAACACCCCCGGATACCCCGGACTCCCTGACCAAGGAGTCGCCGATGCCCGACCAGACTCTCGAGCAGAACTTGGACAACCAAGAACAATCAGAAAACAAGAATCTAGAACCTCTTTACTAAGTCAGAAAGAAGATCCCCCATACGATGCCAATCAGTCTCACTCACCAGAAAATGACACACCTGTTTACGAAGAAAGTGCGAATGTGGAACATACGAAGGAAATGGAAGACGTTGATGATGTAAAATTAACGACCGATGCCGAAAAACCGATGGAAGTTGAACAACCACAAGAATATGAAGCGACAAATCAGAATTACGCAGAAGGGAATTACGAGCAATACGATCAAAATTACGAACAAGGTCCAGTGACAAGTGAGAATGAGTATCAGAATCAAGGGTATGAGCAAAATTATGAGCAGCCAGCGTATACTGAAGGACAGTACGAGAATTACGAACAGCAACCGCAGTATGAAGGGGAGTACCCACAACAGTATACTGATCCTAATGCCCAATATGAAAACCAGTATGAAAATTATGCCACAGATGGAAATTATCAAAGTGAACAGAGTTACGACAATACACAGAATCAGGACTACCTTCCACAAAATTTAGAAGGGAGTCAAGAATATGAGCCAAACCAAGATCCAAGCCAAGATGTAGCGCCAAATACGCGAGTAGAAAGTCAAAGAAATGTTTCACCAAAAGAAAACATTCCTAGCCAAAGTTAGCAAACGTTTTAAGAGATTTTGATTATTTTTGTGCAATATTTTTTGTTGTTGATTTAATTTAAGCTTTTATGAAATTGTATTCGTGTTAGATTCTTGTAGATAGACACTACAGTGTAGATATAGAGCTTTTGATGTTAGGGTGTAATAAATATGGTTCATTATGAACCTACCTATAACTTCAATATAGTACCTATAAAAAGTAAACTGAAATAACTAATTTAATTAAGAAACTTGAGCATTACAGAGAGTAAGAATGTTGGTTGTAGGCATATAAAGTACCTACGTTATTAGAAAACACTTATAAAAGCCTTGTATGGCTTCATTATATCCTACTATCCATTTATCGTAGAAATGTTAATATCACAAAAATATTTTGCTCAATAAAATATTTAGATGATACCATTGTTTCATTTTCATCCATCATATTTAACCAAAAATAAGTCAACTTGAATTTAAATCATTAATATTATTATAGTAAGTAAGTAGGTATGCAGTTTAATTGAAATGTGTCCAATTTAGAAACTACAACGAATTGTTAATGGTACTTACCAACATGTTGTCTTTAATTGGCCACTTGTAATCAAATTAAAAATCAAATCGAATTAAATGCTACATGATAATTTGGTGGCTTGTTCGATTTTACTTGGAATCTAGTTACCTACCAACAATATCCATTTTTCCATACTATTCATACTGTATTTTCATCTTCGACACAATGAGGGTTTTATGGTTTTTCCTTGCCTTTTTTGGATTTACTTTGGCCGTAAGTTTTCTGTGCTTTTGTATCTTATCAATGATGTATCAATCTATACCTATCTACTAATTTTATAAATGCGAAAGTAACTCTGTCTGTCTCTCTTTCACGCCTAAACCACTGAACCGATTTTGATGAAATTTGGCATAGAGATAGTTTGAGTCCCGGGAAAGAACATAGGATAGTTTTTATCCCGGTTTTTGAAACAGGAACGCGCGTGATAAAGTTTTTCTATGACAGACAAAATTCTACGCGGGCGAAGCCGCGGGCGGAAAGCTAGTCGGTCATAATTCTTCGGACATCTTAATAAATAAATAGGACCCTACCTATTTTAAGAAATACATAGTTATTATAAGCTGGGTTGCACCATCTTACTTTAACCTTTGACAAACGTCAAAAATCTGTCAAACTCTATACAAACACCGGTTAACGATATAGTTACAGTCAAAGTTAGGTGGTGCAACTCAGCCTTAATGTTATATTATGTTATGTCGAGGCATTGAGGTTCAATTTGCAGTTTTCCTTTAATAAAAGTCTAATTTAGGATACTTTCTAAAAAAATACAGAAAGATAAAGTCCATTTTCAACTGAAGACACCTCACGGCAAACCCAGCCCTCGCGAGGTGAAAACTATGCTGAAAAATCTAAATTCGGCCTTGGATGAACTACTGGAGAAAGACATCAAATTCGACGGGAGCAACCAGGGGAAGCCTGTACACATCAGCAGAAATTTAGATAGCGAGGTTGATGTGGTAAAAGAGCAACTAGCAGACATATTTACCAGTATTTTGAAATACAAAAAAGTAGAAGTTAAAAGTGAAAACGGTGACTATGATGATGACGATGAAGACGATGACTATGACGATGATTTTGAAGAACAGGAGGCTGAAGACTATCGTAATCTCTTTAGATTTGTTCAAAAGGTTGCGCAAAGGAATCAGGTGGGTGCAAACGTTCCTTGACTCTTGAATGTCCCTTTCAACCCGATCGAGCTAACTGCGCATCTCGCTGGAATGCGACTCTCCCTCCCACTTACCCGCACACCTCCCCGCGTTCGCCCCGTCCGTATCAGGGCGTCGATGTGACGTCACGGCAGCAGGGTGCGCAGTTAACTTGACCGTGTCGTATTTGTACGTAACCAAATGCCAAATCCGCATTTATCTACATAAGTAGGTACATTATAGGTTTTCATTACATTGGATAATGTAAGAAAATTGAATCAGAATTCCACTATTTCAAACGAACATAAACGCTCTACTGTCTACCTCGATAGTTTCTTTGGTCTCCTTAAGATTTTGATCAATATGTTTCAATGTCGACAGTAATAATTATTGAAACAGTATTGTTTTATTTATTCGTTTGCAGATCTCCAAAGTTGGGGTAAGTTAATTTCTACAAGGAAATTCCAAATGAAACATACTTATTCTTGAATCTTTATTATCTTTACTAAGTTCCAACTTAATCTGCCCTGCAAACTGCAAATGACAGTTTAACTTTCCCCCGGGACTAACTTTACCTTCACTGGTTGGGTTTTTATTGGCGGTCAAGCTGTAGATCCTGGCTACACGGGAGTTGCAGCGGTGGGAACGAAAAGTGGGAATAGTCCCGTTTATTATTATTTCGTAATGAAATAGGTAATTAAATAATAAATGTCATAATAACTATTGCTAAGTCCACGTTCTAGGTGATAAGAATATTCACGGTACGTTCATAGGTCATTTTCCATTTAACATTTAGACTAGGCGCAGACCATCGATTTTTAGTTGGCCGATAGTTGTGCACGATTTTAAAATGTATGAAGAATCGGCTAAATTAAATCGGTGTAAGCGCACCTACCTACACGATACCTACATAATGATCAACTGCCCGACTAAACTATCGGCCGACGAAAAATCGATGGTCTGCACCTAGGCTTAAGCTGAGCGTGTTTTTTACCCGACTACGGCAAAGCAAAAGGAGGGTTATGATTTTGATAGGCTATGTATTGTATGTATTTACCCAACCCTATCCAAAAATAGGGTCGATTGTTACAGTGTTGAAAATCGTCAATTTTATTTATGGGACCAACCAACCTAAGTGGGAAATAAAAAAACTTTCCCATGCAAATTGTAACAGATTGTAATACACAACAGTACCCCGAGCACGAATAAATATCGTTCTCGTTAAGTTTAGTAAATTTTTTTATATGAAAACCAGAACTGTGCCACCACTGGTCGCCAAAGAAAAGATAATATTTACATACGATTACTAATACCTATTACTACGTAAATGACAACGAGAGTTATTCGTGCTAGGGGCACTGATACATTATGGTTAACTACACTTTGCCAATTTTTTTTCAGAATCCTATTAATGATAATTTAGAAGTTAGTTTAAAATAAATACCTAATAGATTTTTATTTTAAAATTAGTAGAGTAGGTATGTAACTGCTAAAAACCTATATCAATCAAATCAAATTTAATGAAGATGATTTTGTTTAGGCCCTAATGTTGTAAGATAATTCAAATGACTCTGTAAAACCTGGGTTCGATTCCAGGTCGAGTCAATCAGAAAAAAGGTTAATGAGCAAGGAAGGCTCTCGGTCTCAAAGAATACTTTCTTTCTACATAATACTAAATAATTTCATTAATTTTTAAACCGACTGCGCCAGAAGATCGTAATGTTTTTTGCTTCGTCTCGTACAAAGTGGAATGGAGCAAGATAAAAATTAAAATAAGTTTGAAACCAGAGTTAGTTGTCAACCTTATTAATCAAATTATTGTTTTTAGAGAAACCAATTTCCTGACAGGACACCGTACGAGAAATAGTGAACTTTTAAACCTGCTCAGTGATTATCCCGTAAGTTTTATTTTATTTTTACTTTAACATAAACTTGCTAGGTAGGTACAAACAAACTCGCTTTTAATTCTTTAAATACCTAAACAAGTAGGTATTAATTTAAATGTTTTTATCTTTAAATTTCAGACACGCCAATTTGAAGCCTACATTATCTTCTAAATTTACACTTATTTTATTTAATAAATATTATTGTTGTTCACAAAATATTATTTTATTATCCTACACTAAGGATAAGCTGTAATTATTAAGGATCTCAAAATATGACGAATGTACCATTGAGTTATAATTGATTTGTACCTACTTATATTAATGCCGATAAAACTAATTTTTAACTAAATTGGTTTTCATATTTTTCGATCGTTCCTAAAATGGAATGGAATGAATTTTGTCTCATTTTGGGAAATTCTTTTATTTTATTGAAAGTGATTTTGGTGTGAATCGGACTGCGGACATTCTTGACATTTTGAGTTTTGGTATTTTTGACAATGACATTTTGAATCAGCAGCGCTGTCAAAGTTGTTTGTTGTCGTTTTGTCGTCGTTTTCGTGGTACATAATTTTAAATAATCTATTCGTAATAGAGCCAAATACTCTAGAAATTACACCATTAATCTGCCGGTTACCGGAGGAGGAACAATTCACTTGTACCGCTTTGGACTCTACATTTTTGAGGTTATATTGTTTGTTTTGGAAGTGGAATTATCTAAATAAGATGGTTTGTGAGAAATGCGAAAAGAAACTAGGTCGTGTGATCACGCCAGACCCGTGGAAAGCTGGCGCGAGGAATACTGTGGAGTCTGGCGGCAGAAAAGTTGGTGAAAACAAGGCTTTGACAGCGAAAAAAGGGCGGTTCAACCCTTACACTGCGAAGTTCCAGGAATGCAAGTAAGTTTTGTGGCATTTTTCTGTATAAATTTTTTTTAACTAATCTTTTTGTCATAAAATGACCCAAGCAATGATGCAAATGTACATTTTGATTATACCTACCATGTCTGAGATTTTTGGATTAATATCTAATTCAAGTCTGTTTTGAGGTTTTGATTGCAAACTTAATACTATCCTTCCTAATAAAGTGTCTTAGCACATTGCCAAATATTTTTGCAACAAAAATGTATTGTAGGTTTTACTAGGACATAAACTAACTAAACACCATAAGTCACCTTTAGACTGAGTTTCTTCCGCCACTTCTTCTCATCACCAGCCCATTATATTGTCCCGAAGTGGTGGTAAAGCTACCTACCTGTGTAAATGCTCTGGAAAGGGCCTATGTTCTGAATACCTATTTGATTTGACTAATTTGAATTTTTGTGTGTTAATTCCAGGATTTGCCGATGTAAAGTTCACCAAGTCGGCTCACATTACTGCCAAGCGTGTGCGTACAAGAAAGGCATCTGTGCAATGTGCGGCAAGAAGATATTGGACACAAAGAACTATCGGCAGAGCTCTACGTAACTGGCAATATTAGTGTACCTACTTTAAGATTGTATAAATTGTTTGGTTAGTAAGCAATTGTGTACTTTTTATATAATGTGGGTTTTACCAACACTTGAGCAATAATTGAGATGTTTCTAATTATAAGGATTTTATATACTCAAAATATGGGATCTTTCCAATACGATTAAGCAGGATATCAGATGTACGTTTGAATAAGAAACATAGTTACCTCTTTTGTGGTCTTATTATGGTACAACTGAAGTCCTGATCAAAATGTGTTATTAAAAGAGCCCTATGATCATAATATTACCATGAATTACGCCTACTCTGAATCCCGCTGCCGCGCCGCCGGCGAAATTATGCTTTGACGAATCGTGTGCAGGAGCGCTAAAGGCAACAGCATCCAGGTCATGATTGCGAGCAGGTTAGATTGTGTGTATGGCCTATGGAATGAAGCAGGGATGACTTATATGCCTAAAGCTTAATTATGGGATTTGAAATTGAAATTAATGACATAAGAGTAGGCGCACACCGTTGATTTTTAGTTGGTCGATAGTTGTGCCCGATTTTAAATTGTATGAAGAATCGGCCAAATCGAATCGGCGTAGTGTGCGCACTCCCATACATGCCCATACTGATCAACTGCCCGACTAAACTATCGGCCGATGAAAAATCAACGGTGTGCGCCTACTCTAAAATATAAATATTTCATCTTTAATTATTACATTTATTTATTGTAATGAAATACATTGTACAATACTTGTTCAACTAATATAGATCTAAGTGAAATTGTTACTAACAAAGTCTTAGTTTTTTGAATAAAGAATATTATTATTCTTAGAGCCGATTTTTCAATCGTCAGATATCTTTTATCTGAAGAATAAATTTGTCATTTTGACATATTTTCCATACTGAAACTGTCAATGTGCCAAACTTATTCTCAAGTATAAAGTTATCCGACTATTGAAAAATCAGCCCTTATAATAATTATCATTTTAAAATTTAAATCATACTTATTTACAAATAAAACATATTCAGACTTATAAACTTAACTAACACTATGTGTATTGTGTACCCAATCTTTGGTAAAGTTTACTGACTAGAGGTACCTACATGGAATCCATAGATTTTGGGGCTTATTCCACTATTCGTCAACGAGGATTAGTGAACTTTTTGTTCACTAAAAAAAGATCATTACTTTAAAAATAAAATCCTAATATAATGGGGATTAATGAACTAAAAAGTTTAGTTAAAATGTAGATAATTAATTATTATTAATTTTAAACATTTCAATATTGAATATACCACGAAGTTTAAGCATAAATAAATTACTGAAAACATTTAAACTCAAGCCTGATTTGTCTAAATATCGAAATTTTATGAACGAGTCATTGAATTTAATCGATTTTAGTAAGCATTTCACTTTTATACTTCCGTACACTCATTTATGTGGTCAGTGAAACATTGCAAATAACAATTACTTCAATCGCATAACATGAACGGCGACGGATAAATATTTTCAATTACTGAAATGGTATTTTTCGCATTGTTTTTCATACACATGTTGCTTTATGGGGTAAGTAGGTACTTAGGTTACAAGTTTTTTTTATAATTTCTTCTATTTGCGTTATTCCGTTTTATTACCGAGTGGTACCTACCAGCATTGTAGCAAATACAAAATTTAATCTATTATTCAGTACTTATACAGGGTGTTAGGTAAATGGGTATATGAGCCGACACTAGCCCATGTTAACATGGGCATTTAGATGGTATGGTGAAGTCAGGAAATTGATATCTTTATTTTAATTTTCATATTTTTCATACAAATCGGAATTTATAAAATTTATTTTGTATGAAAATAAAATAAAATAAAATGATGATATCAAATTTCTGACTTCACCATACCATTTATATGCCTATGTTAACATGGGCTAGTGTCGGCTCATATACCCATTTACCTAACACCATGTATAGGAGTTATAGGCCCTTTCCAGGGCGCTTATACACGTCCCAAATAGCTTGCCCTCCCACCACCACCATAGTTAGTCCAGTGGTTATGTTCTGGGTTCGATTCCCATTTAGATTCTATCTTCATTATTCGTTTCATCCGAAGACGTCCACTGCTGGACAAAGACCTCATGGACTTTCACAACGACCGGTCCTGCGCCGCATCCAGGCACCACCCGCGACCTTCACCAGATCATCGGTCCACCGATCATAGTGAGGGGCTTGCCCACACTAGGTACGTCTTCCGTCCCGTGGTCGCCACTCTCGAGAACTTTTCTGCCCCAGCGATCATCAGCTCTGCGAGATTTGCCTCGCCCACTGCACTGCCACTTGATTAGCAATTTTGCGGGCTGTGTCGGTCAATTTGGTTCTCCTGCGGATCTTATTTCTGATTCGATCACGAAGAAAGATACTCGTAGTATTAACGTATGTAAATTTTTTTTTGTTATTAAGTATTTATTTACAGATCTCACAGGCCTACGAGAACAAACACTTCGAAGCCAAAAAGGATGAAAGCAGTCGATTCGCAGCTCTCTTGCAGGAGCTCATAAAGGTGAACGAGGGAAGGATAGAAGCGATGAAGCAGCTGGTCCGCCTGCAGGAGTATAGCGTAGCCCCCCACCACTTGAGGATGGGGAGGGAGGACGATCAGGATAGACTGGTGGTCATTATTGTAGGAGTAAGTAGCAGTGCGGGAGTAACTAGGCTGCATCACCTTAAGGCTGGTTTTAGAGTCACGCTGACGCACGCTGACCATCAGCGCTGATAGCCGAAATGTATGAAACGTCGGCGCCGAGCGATCAGCGTCACTCAGGAACGTTCCCTTCAATTACATACTTATTGATCTGTCAGCGCCGACGATCAGCGAGCGGTTAGCGCGATTCTAAAACCNCTAAAACCCGCCTAACTTTAACCATAGCTGATAGCTATAAATAGGTGTTTTTGTATGGAGTTTGACGTTTGTTATTAAAGTAAGAGGGTGCAAACTAGTTGGATGGTTAGACTCCATGCAGAGTGCAGACGTTCGGTCTGCTTCTAGTTTGTATATGGAGAAGCGGCCGAATTCAAAACGGTAGGTACATGTAATGTGCGTACCTGCTTCCATACATCTTCGTAGGACCGATAACAGCTCGAAGAAGAACAATAGAGATTGGCTGTCTAGCTAACTTAAATTTTTATTTTGCCAGGACAGAAAAACCTCTATCGAGACCAATCCAAACATAGCAGATCCACTTTGGAATCCAGAGCCCTACAAAGGATCCAAAGACCTCCATAAATCAGCTGAAAGTGATTCAACCGATGACGTCAATAATGACGATGCAGGCCAAGCATTAAGAAAGGGCTGGCAATACACCTGCGGGAAAAAGATGAAGAAAGTATGCACTAAAGCTTGTAAAATAGCTTACAAAAACGTCTGCATGACGTATGACTGTAAGAAGAAGATGAAGAAAAGTTTGAAGAAGGAATGCAAAAGGATGTGCAAGTCCAAATTCGACGAAGGCAAATACAGCGGATCGCGTTCTGATTCTGATTCGGATTCTGACTAGGTACTTTTAAGTTAAGAAATAACTGTAATTTAAATAGATAAGTTAATAAATTGACTTTCTGTTCTTCTTACTTAATTTACCATCATCACTACAATGAAAGCCCCATGGATGCTTAAGACCTGCCATACATGGACAGCTTGAAGCAGTTAACACAGCTTAAAATTGCGGCTGCATTATACTGCATAGCAAATCACATAAGCAGTTGTGACTACTCGAGCGGTTCCTAGATGCTTGTACGTAGTAAACTGTAGTTTGCTATGCAGTCGCAGCTTGAAGCTGTCGGATACTAGCCGCTCCAAGCTGTCCGTGTATCGCGGGCCTTGGTTTCAAACTTTATGTTTATAATCAATAAATAAATAAAAAATGTAACTAGTATCTACTTAAGTAGGTAAGTACTTACGTGCTCTGAAAAAATCCTTATGAAACCATCCTTTTCAACTAGCAAAAGAATTAGGTATTTAGTAGGTCTTACCTCAAATTCTAAAGTAAACAAAGTTCTTTATATACAAGTTAAATACCAACCTAATTGAAGCAATTAAAACTAACTACATCCCTATTGCCTAATTCACAGAGCCCTAATTGTAGAGCTTGCGGACATTGCCTCCCAAGCAAAACAAACTTAACTAATTTAATTTAACCGCGGTTCAATAGACGTGCCCTCAGCCTCATAATTCAATGAGTTGTTGGTACAAACCAACTAACTTGAAGTGAAGACAATCTTTGGAGGCTATTATTGGCGCCATCAATAAGTCAAGCGTAAAGCATAGGTAATATTATTTGATATGTTAGTAATCTTGCAACGGGTAATAATAATTAATATAAAATACCATGAAAATACCAAAACAAGCGACTCATGGCGTTTAAGTAAGTATGCCTAATGCACACATTTTTGAATTGGGAATCGAACCTACGATTTCTGACATGAATTACTAACGTATCTTAAACCACTAGTCCAAGCCGCTAATCAAAAAAACATGGTTCTATTTTGCAAGAAAAAGAGTCAACATAATACCTACCTATGTTTTATAACAGTCTATTCACCATCATCGTCATCATTTCAGCAATAGGACGTCCACTGCTGAACATAGGCCTCCCCCAATGATTTCCAAAATGGCCGGTTGGTGGCGGCCTCTCGTACACCTACTGCTACAAAAAAAATTGGTAAAATGAAAGTCTAGGTAAGTAATTGCAGTGCATAGTTTCAAGAATCTATTTATACCGACAAAGATTTTGAGTGAAAGTTTTGCGAGATTTATTATAAAAATCAAATTTAATTAAAAGTTACGATCTTTGTTGATTGAACCACTCGATCATAAAAGTTATTATCCATATTTTGTTATCATCCTTTTCAGTGCTTTACGATCAAGTTTTTGACCGACTACCAATTTGTTTTATTTATTGTACTTATTAATACCAAACTACTTTCTAATACAAATTATAATGCACCGATCTATTGCACTACTTTTTTCAATCATTTATTACGTTGTAAGTTTCCGCAGTTTTTAAATCGATAATATCTTTGACAATTTTTCACCTAAATAAGGATTGAGCCTACCACAATAATGTAGGTAATACATCTACTTGCTGTTAAAACATAAAACTAAATAAGTATTTCAAAAACATTTACATATTTTAATATTTTACAGTTAAGTACGTGTTTATACTGGCAACTGACCTTTCTATTTTTTGTTAGTTTGTCTTTAATTACCTTTTTATTTTTAAATTAAGATTGACTTTTCAGGAATTTTCATTAGCAAAACCTGCACTAACTTCCCAAATACGATTTCATAAAGATCTTTTACCGATCGACGAGAAAGACTATCGTCGTGACGTGTTAGCTATCGTTTTTCTGAACGTAAGTTAACTTTATTTTTTTTATTAAGTTAGTCAGTGCCAGAGGTATGGGGAGCTTGGGAGGGGCACTGGAGGGTGTTATTGTGACGGTGAAACGTAAAGTTAAGCTCTATAATTATGATTTACAGTAATGTATTGACAGTGACGGCGTACCCGGGGCGATCCCCCCCCGTCCCCCCTCCCCCCCCGTCACAAGGTCACAAGTCCTATGGCAACCCCCANAGGACCGATAACAGCTCGAAGAAGAACAATAGAGATTGGCTGTCTAGCTAACTTAAATTTTTATTTTGCCAGGACAGAAAAACCTCTATCGAGACCAATCCAAACATAGCAGATCCACTTTGGAATCCAGAGCCCTACAAAGGATCCAAAGACCTCCATAAATCAGCTGAAAGTGATTCAACCGATGACGTCAATAATGACGATGCAGGCCAAGCATTAAGAAAGGGCTGGCAATACACCTGCGGGAAAAAGATGAAGAAAGTATGCACTAAAGCTTGTAAAATAGCTTACAAAAACGTCTGTATGACGTATGACTGTAAGAAAAAGATGAAGAAAAGTTTGAAGAAGGAATGCAAAAGGATGTGCAAGTCCAAATTCGACGAAGGCAAATACAGCGGATCTCGTTCTGATTCTGATTCGGATTCTGACTAGGAACTAGATTTTAAGTTAAGATTTCAGAATTAAATAACTGTAATTTTAATAGATAAGGTAATAAATTGACTTTCTGTTCTTCGTGCTTTATTTACCATTGCCACTACAATGAAAGCCCCAATGCTTGCTTAAAGCTTCCTGTCATACATGGACAGCTTGAAGCAGATTTTTGACAGCTTCAAGCTGCGACTGCATAGCAAACTACGGAAGCAGTTGTGAGCAGTCAAGCGCGAGCGGTTCCGTGTAAGTATGTAAGTAACGTAGAGTCAAGATTTTGTAGTTTGCTATGCTATATGCAGTCGCAGCTCAAAACTGGCAGACACTATAATGTTTCAAGATGACTGACGCTATCCGTGTATGGCGGGCCTTAATTTCAAACAAACTTACATTGTACCAAATTAACGCAATTATCTAGCTATATCCCATTGCCTAATTCACAGAGCCCTAATTGTAGAGCTTGCGGACATTGCCTCCCAAGCAAAACAAACCTACTTAACTAATTTAATTTAACTGCGGTTCAATAGATGTGCCCTCAGCCTCATAATTCAATGTATTGTTGTGCTCCAATTAAACAATTAGTACAAACCAACTGACTTGAAGCGACGACATCTTGAAAAGTTAGTTCAATCTTTAGAGATCATAGGCGCCTTCTTGCACTTTATTACTTAACATAGAAAATACCTATTCAAATAAATATAAAATCATAGATAGAAAACCGATACAAACAAATTAGAAAGTAATCTGCACATTGCACACATTTTTGGATTGTGGGGGAATCGAACCCGCGTCTTCTGACATTCTGGCATTAGTGAACCACTAAGGCCGGGGCGTCCATCAAATGTAGATTTTATTTTTAAAGAAAAATGCGTACTTAATTAGGATTCGAATTTTTTACATCAACATTAGTAGGTATTAAAGTATGTAGGCATCGGTAGGTCTAGGTGTGGGCTTTAAGCCATAGTACCTAGGTCAAGCAAATCCTAGTACTTAATGACTGTAGTGTGTAAAATATGTCGTAGATACTCTCGTATCATCATCATCATTTCAGCTATAGGACATCCACTGCTGAACCACAATAGGCCTCCCCCAATGATGGCGGCCTCTCGAATACTTCTGCTACAAAAAAATTTTGTAAAATGAAAGTCTAGGTAAGTAATTGCAGTGAATAGTTTCAAGAATCTATTTATACCAAGATTTTGAGTGAAAGTTTTGCGAGATTTATCATAAAAATCAAATTTAATTAAAAGTTACGATCTTTGTTGATTGAAGCATTAGATCATAAAATCCATATTTTGTTATCATCCTTTTCAGTGCTTTACGATCGATCAAGTTTTTGACCGACTACCAATTTGTTTTATTTATTGTATTAATACTAAACTACTTTCTAATACAAATTAAAATGCACCGATCTATTGCACTACTTTTTTCAATCATTTACGTTGTAAGTTTCCGCAGTTTTTAAATCGATAAAATCTTTGTCAATTTTTCACCTAAATAAGGATTGAGCCTCTGGTAGTAGTACTACCACAATAACACCTACTTGCTGTAAAAAAAACTACTACATAAAACTAAATATTTCAAAAATATTTAGGTACATAAGGTATATTATAATATTTTACAGTTTCGTGTTGATACTGGCAAGTCTGGCAACTGACCTTTCTATTTTTTGTTAGTTTGTCTTTAATTAACTTTTTGTTTTTAAATTAAGATTGACTTTTCAGGAATTTTCAGTAGCAAAACCCGCACTATTTTCCAAAATACAAGATTACAGTACAGAAAACGAGCTTAAACATAGAGACAACCATCGTGATGTGTTAGCTATTGTTTTTCTTAACGTAAGTTAACTTTATATTTTTATTATAGCCTATAGGGTCGAGCAATTAACTTAGTCTTTGCCAGAGGTATGGGGAGCTTGGGAGGGCACTGGAGGGTGTTTTTGTGACGGTCAAACGTAAAGTTAAGCGCTATAATTATGATTTACAGTAATGTATTGATGGACGGCATAAGTAAGAAATAAGAATAACCTACCAACTCTTTCCTTAAATGTCGTAAAAGCGGCTTAGGGATAAATATACTAAGATATATGAAGATCAGGCTTCTTCAACCTGCCTGGTCAGTAGTGGTCAGTAACCAGTGTGGGGTGTGTAGGATAAATCATCCATTTGCACCTAGTAAAACAGAGATCTAGCCTCCTAGATCTCTGTTTTACTAGGTGCAAATGTATCGCTGCGATGAGATGCGTTTTATATAGATCAGATATACCTAGATCCTCATCTAGGTATATCTGATCTATATAAAACGCATCTCATCGCAGCGATTCAGAAAAAAAAGGATAACTATTATGTATTACATTACTTGATCGTGCTAATTTTTGTAATGTTTCAGAAAGAATTACCACAGCTAGAAGATTTACGATATCTTAGAGCAGAATCTAAAGATAGCAAAGACGCTTTAAAATCCGATAATACAAAAAATCTATCGGACGATAGTTCAGAAGAATTTACAGAAGAAGATCGATTAGATTTAAATGATCAAACTTTAGGAAATTCTGTAAATAAAGCTGTTCTAAGATGGTCGGATTGTAGAAGAAAAGCTGCGAAGATTTGCACTAGTGCTTGCATGGAGTCATACAGAAATACATGCTATGCTTACAGCTGTAGGAGCAGCATGAAAAGGACTTTTAGGAGAGAGTGTAAGGAAAATTGTAGAGATAAATTCAGAGATTAAATAAATTAAATTATAACTGTTGTTTTTTATTTTCACTTTGATAATACAAAAAATTTATAGACACTGAATTAGGTACCTACACAAATAAAACAACAAATAAGCCCTCTCGACTTATAGGTACCTGTAGGTACTGGGTTCGAATCTCAAGTAGGACAATACGTAGTGAAACTCAATTTTGACCCGACTGCGCTAGAAAGAGGGTTATTGTGTTTGGTTAGGATATGACATAGCCTATATGGACCATAATTTATGCTGGTCAATGCTCACTAGGTATCTATCAATAGATCAAATCCCGTCAAATGCTCTGTGGTAGATACTAAAATCTAAGAGAACTGTATAGCATTGTTTTAAACTAAGTATATGTAAAGATTTCTATGTACCTATTTTATTTTATGGACATTCACTTATACATATACAGGCTGTTAGGTAAATGGGTATTATCTACATATGAGCCGACACTAGCCCATGTTAACATGGTCATATAAATGGTATGGTGAAATCACGAAATTGATATCTCCATTTTAATTATTTTATTTTTCATACAAATCGGATTTTATAACATTTATTTTGTATGAAAATTTAAAAAATTAAAATGATGATATCAATTTTCTGACTTCACCATACCATTTATATGCCCATGTTAACATGGGCTAGTGTCGGCTCATATACTCATTTACCTAACACCCTGTATGTGTATAACTAATTTTAAGGTAACCCGTTCAGTTACGTTAAAAACGTTTAACATTTTTGAGAGAAAAAATAAAATAAAAATAAGTAAATTTAATTAAAAGTTACGATCAGTGTTGATTGAATCATTCGATCATAAATGAAATCAGTAGGTACTTTAATCCGCTTTGCGATATGCAATTCTTTTTTAGTATTAAGTTCTCAGGAATAACTTTCTAACGAAACTGTATTAATTTAGTACCTACCTTTTTAAAAAAAACAGTTAAACAGTTAAATTTTAATTACTTTCTATTTACAATGTACCTGACAAGTGTTTTCGTAATATTTTTAATATTATTTTTCGTTGTAAGTCTTCCGCAATCTTTGTTAGTTATTTTAAAAATAATACTAATTACTTTCTTGCAATTAAAAATTTTCCTTTTACCTGTTTACCTACTTTACCTTTAAGTTAATAAGATTGAAATTTCAGGAATGTTTAGTACCAAAAACTTCCAAAATAGAACTAAATGAAGATTATTATACAACTTCGGATTATATCAATAAAATAAACGAGTTAAAACATCAAGCAGACGTGTTAGCTATTGTAATCCTAAATGTAAGTGGTGTTTATTTATATACAGGGTGAAAACGATATGCTGTACCTACCTACTAAATGAATGGAAGCTGAAAACAGAATTTTCGGATAAATCCAGTTTATTCTGTAACCTATTATTAATACCGTTTGATAGAGCTCGTGAAACACTTTCAGGATCAGAAACCAGTTTTTCGATATCTTGTATAGTTTAGAAATAATCGAGTGAGATCACTTATCGTTCCACCCTGTATATTCAGGAACTATATCTACTTACCTATCTATTTAAATTAATATCTTATTTTAATAATGATACGTAGTAATTTCTCATCACGCATCTTTTCTTATTGTTTCAGAAAGAAATACCACAAGAAGATTTGAAAAATAGAGCACAATCTGAAATTATAGGCGACGATTTAACATCAGATGAATCAGATGAAAGTTTAGAAGATGATGATGATAAATTTGATGTTAATGTACCTAAAGAACTTAGTAATGCTATAGGTAAAAATGTTCTTCGATTTAAATGGAAAGGATGCACTAAGAAAGTCCGGAAAGTTTGCTGCAAAGCCTGCGTAAGTGCGTATAAAAATGTTTGCACCAGTTACAAGTGTAGTAGAAGGATGAAAAAGGCTTTTAAGAAAGAGTGTAAGAACAGTTGTAAAGATCAATTCGATTTCTCTTGAAAGAGATCGATTAAATAGATTTTTTTAGATTAATTTGTAAATAATAGATCGATTTATTGTTTTGTTTACTCAGAATTCGATCAGTAATACGAGTAAGTATAATCTTATGTAAAGTGTAATGTAAAAAAAAACGAAAAACATTTTATCTTCTTTATTTATAATTTATGATACATCAATAAAGTACAATTTTGTATAATTGTGATATAATAACTTGTTAATTGTAGTTTGTAATACAATAAATTGAACATTACAGCAACTTTTTCTATATAAATCGATTCAACAAGTAACACTTGTAAAATGTTAATAAATATAAGTTCTAACTCTATACTCTTCACTCAATATTTTCCATGGCTCAGAAATATTAATTTCTGGATCTACGAAAATAAATTCCTACTTCTAAGATATAACACGCTATGTTAAATCATAAAATATGTAAAATGGTAATACTCGTAGGACGGAATGTCAAATATATAATATTTAATAATTCAATCGTTATAATACATAAAGCATTTAGGTATTCATCATAATCTCATTCAGTATAACGTCAATATTGCTATATAAATTGTGACAGTATATAAGACTAATTTAAACATTCACAACCCAAATAACATAATACAAAAGTCTATGTAAGAAAATATGTTTACTTTTACAATTAGAAAGGCACTTTGTTACGATTTACTTCAGGTATTTTAACAAGTAATTACAATCTAAAAACGAACTCGCCGAGTTTTTCACTCGGGAAGAATATTTGCACCACATGTTACATAGAAGTAAAAGCACTTCGATGTGATGACATTATTATTCTTATAATATCTAAAATTTACAATTTCCCACCACTTGGACTCCTGGAACTACTTTTTATGGAAGTCACAGAAATATTCCCCGAACTACTGCTCAAGGTGGGTGGAGGTGACCGCGGTAACGAAAACGTCTTTTCCGTCAAATTCTCCTGACTCGCCGACTTTTGGCTCATGAAAACCGGTATCTTAGATGACACGCCGATCGGCTTCTGTTTCTCTTTTACCGGTATGTTGCTCGGTTTAGCTAAGATTACCGGTTTTTGTCCGGAAACCGGCGCGTCACTTGCTGCCCGTAGTTGCATCTGGTCCAATTGTGACAACCTCCGGTTTTCTAGATCTGTGCTTGTAACTATAGTTCCTTTGGGAGATTCGTACGTCGCAGTTCTGAATTTTATTGTGGTGTTTCTCGGTAAATCGAAGTCAGAATGCCGTTTCTTTGGTTCGTTTTGACTCGTTCGTTTTTTCAACTCGGCCTGGTCTCTGGCCGAGTGTCGGCGTTCGTTTAGAATGAAGTCGTTAAGCATTTCAATATCCAATTCATAAGATGGGGAAGGCTCATCATAAGAAGCAGCTCTTTGTCTGCTGGAAATTTTATCTTTTACAGTTTTCTCTTGAACTTTTTCTGTGCGAGGCGTAGTTACTTGAATTTCGGTTATGTGATCGTTCTGTACTCCTGAATCTTTTGCGCTTTCAATTTTACATTTAACATTGTCCGAGGCTAGCAATGGATTAATCGTGTATCTGGTTTTCGTGACTTCAGCTGCTTCGCCACTCGAAGTTTGGACATCTTCTAAATCGTGTATAATTCTTATCCCCAGTTGTGATAATTCTTCAGGTGTCTTCTGTGCCATAAAACTGGGGTCGTTCTTCAGTTTCTCCATCAACGCTTTAGCCTGTGCTTCATCCATGTCCGTTGTATTCAAAATTATAGTTTCAGTTTTAGTGTAAGAAGGTTCATCGGTTGTAAAGTGCATATTAGGATTCTGCCGTTTGATTTCATCTAGCACACTTTTGTCAATGTCTTTAACATTGCCTTCTTCTAAGTTTAACTCATCAATGTCTCTTGCACCTTTCATTAATCCAAAACTAATTTGTTCAACCTGCAGCGGTGCTTCTGTCGTCGCTTGCAGGTATTTAGTAGATATCTTTTCGACGTTTTGTGTTATAACCTTATTTCCGAATTCATCTTCAGCTACATTTACGGTCACAGTTTTCTGCACAGGTTCCTGAGTCATTGTTATTGACATATTTGCTGGTTCCATGTACAATGTGCCGCTTTCTCTTTCACCTCGTCTCCTTATGCCTTCAAGAACGTCTGGTGGCATGATTCTCAACGAAGGCTCGCCGATTTCAATTGATTTTGTGTAAGATTTACTCTTTTGTTCGCCTGAAGGTTGAGTTTTCTCGCTCGTATTTATTGTCACAATGTTACTACTGTGGCTTTGCGACTCTTTGGGCTCTGACCATTCAGTAGAGGTTGTACCAAAGGTTTCAAAAGTGGGTTTCTTGTTGTATTTCAGACTGTTATTATTAGATCCAACATTGACGTTGCTTACGAAATCGTCGTACTCTCTATTTTTTGGTTCTGTACTCTTTAAATCAAAGTTAACGATATCAGGTTGGTGCATAGCAGATTTGAAAGCGTCCGTCATTTGTGTGGGGCTTTCTACACTGGTTGTGGCTTCACTTTTCTGAGTACTTTGGTCTATATGTACATTTAATATGGGGTTTTTGGCTAGAAGCTTCTTCATCATATCAGATTTGGGTCTTTCTAAGCTATTCACGTATGTGTTTCTCGATACCTTTAAATCATCTGGAATGTTAGTATCGTAAGTCATACTTAATTTCTCATCGAATTTAATAGGTGCTGGTACTGCTGGTGCAACTTTTGTAGTAGTAGTAGTGGTGGTGGTGATATTAGGCTGTATTTCTTGGGTGCTATCAAGAGAACTCATATTGCTTCCATCAGATGTGGATTTGGCGAATTCAGAAACAAGTTTGAAGTGAACTTTCATATTCTCGTCAATTATTCTTCGTGCCAAATGATCCGAAGTCTCATGGGATTCATTTTCTTTGTACAGCTGAAATTCCCTACCTTGTAATTTTGGGCCTGATTCCTGCTCTTCCAATTTTTCAGAATCGACTGAGCTAGTTGATCCTTTCACAATAGCGTCTTCCAAGTTCCCGAATTCGGACGCCTTCTTTAAGCGATTTCTCTGGAAAGTGTTCAAGCCTTCTATTGCCGAAGGTTTGCCAATGTTCAGACTCAATCTCGGTTCTTTATGCTTGACCACGACTCCTTTGTCGGAATCAATCATATCCGGTAACATATCTTCATTACCAGAATCAAAGAACGTAGTCTCAACTACTGACATAGCTTTTCTCTTCTTTGGAGATAGAGTGCTCTCTTGTATTTCAGCGTCATCAGCTGATATATCTAAACTCTGCGCTCTTTCAAGAGTACCGGTTGATGGCTTACTTGTTTTAGCTCTCATTTCAAATCTAGACAGATCTCCCAAAGAAGCAGCTTTGCGCTCATTTTCGTCCAATAGCGAAGCATCGTCCGAAACGGAATGCGCTGTATCGTTAAGTGGAGAACTGTGTATTGTTATGTCACTATTATTGAGTTCTATTGTAGTGGAACCCTTCTCGCTTTTGTCGCTATTGTTCAAAGACACAACTGAATGGACATCGTGGTTAGACGACAGGTTGGATTTTGAGTCTTCAAAAAAGTTGTTTAGTGAGTCACTTTCCCTTTTAAAAGGTTTAGATACGATATCGTCGATGTCATCCTGGCTAAAGTTAATTGAATCTTCAATACGCGATTTTGTTTTGCTCACCTTTGGCGTTGAAGTATTGTAAGAAATCATTGATTTATTGGGGCTCGCAAATGAAGTTTCGTGAAGCAAGCTAGAATGTTGTTTTTCGTTTGACAAAAAGTCATTAACGTTCCTCATTTGTTCTATTATGCTGTCATCTGTTTTGTTTTTCTCATGGTCAGGCGGTGACGGCGCTTTACCTTTAGATTTTTTTGCTGGTTTAGGGGCTTCATCTTTTTTGTGTTCGGGCTTTTCATCGGCGATGTGTTCAATTGAGCTCTTCCTGTTAGTCCTTGCCGCTTTAGCTGCGTCCAACATGTGTTGAGGTATCTCTTGAGGAATACCATTTTCGTCTCTCTTGATGCCGCTAGAATTGAGGTCGTTTCTACTGAAAGATATTGAACTGTCTGAAGTTTTTGAGGTGTCTTGTTGACTTGTATTCATTTCTGGATCAACAGGCTTCGCTCGAGCGTTAGGAATAGGAGGTGCCATTTTTTCTCTCCGCTTAGCAACGACAGGTTTCTTAATTTCAGTCTCACTTTCATGTTTTATTTGAGTCGTAGGTGCAGGTCTTTGGGGCTCCGGCTTGTCTGGCTCATCGATGGATTTCTTCTCAACAGCTACCACTCCGTTCTCTACGTGTTTTTGTTTTAATACTCCGTCATCAGGAACATTTGGTGGTAGTACTCTGATGCCGAATTTCATTCCTCTTTTCGGGTCGTAATCTTTCTTTTGTAATTCCGCGTGCTCTATCTGTGTTATTCCATTCTCTGGTTGTATTATCTGAACGTCATTTCCAGTTGAATGTCTTGTTTTGTTCCTTTCTGGTTTACTCAACGCTGCAGGTATATCAGAATGCCTGGTTTTGTGTGCGAGTTTGTTATTCTTTTCGTTTTCTCGCTCTAGCGTGGTGGTCAGCATATCTCTTTTCTCTTTCTTGTTCCGTTCTAGCGTGGTGTTGGTGATTATTTTGTCTGTGATGATCTTCTTGATGCCGCCCTTGCTCTTCGTTTCAAGGGTTGAGTTGTTGGAGTGTGATGTGTTCGGAGATCTCGGTGGGTGTAGGAGCTTCCCTTCTTTCTCGAGCTGGAATAAGAAACACATGACATAATTAGCATAAGGACTGTATAGAACGAGTCTTTTAAATAATTTTTAGGACTGCAGTTAGAGTTGTAGGTAAGAAAATCACTGGCTACCTTATTTATCAAGTTTATTGTTATTGATCCCAAGTTAAACTTCATTATACCTATTTTATACGCATATCTGACACATAATTGACATAATAATATTGTCCCTGTTAAAAGGTAAAAAGCATTAAATTACGTCGTAGTTGTCTGCCTCTTAACTGTCACCTATACGTAGTAGGCCTATCTCTAACTCGAACTCGCCCTTAAAGATAAAGTGTGTAGGTATTTTGTTTACTATTGCGTCTCAACATTATGTAAGTCATAGTAGCTAACGTCTACAGTTTATCTATCTCCACCATCAAAATCCAAACACCGGCATGTCAAACAATCAAGCTCATATAGTTCCAAAATACTGGACTGTCCTGTCGATGACATTGACAGTGGGGCGCCACCGTCAATACCGGATCGCTGGTTCAGATTTTTGCCATGTTGGAAACCATATAGTTGAACGATGGTAGCGCCCCCCTGTCATTGAGTTTGGCGGGACAGTTCAGCGTGGGTCATCTATACAACCTTATTCGTCTGTTTTTCAAACAATAGAGACGTATACATTCCTTGTCGTGCGACATTATTGTATGCCAAACAACCATTGTAACTGCAATAACATTGTAAATTGATTTCTGTTTGCTCAAAAACATCCTCTAATATATCTAACATAGCATTCAATATCCCGCACACCGTTTCACTACTTACGACAGCTGCAACTTGGAACGACATTTCTTATTGTCAACGGACCATTGTAAGAGGAGCTATAAAGGTTTTAGATGTTTTCCCAAAGATATAAGTCATGATAAGTTAGAGAGGTCAATGTAAACTGGTCGGGAGGCTTCAATGAGTAATGGCGGAGCCATTTGAATGTATAACTAGCTGGAAATGCATGGAAATAATTATTATGCCTGTGATATAACGCAGACGCAACGGCTTGTCAAGTTGTACAGATATTCAGCTGGTGTGTCTAGTTTTACTGATATTTTGCATACTGGCAAAATGCTCCAAGCATTATAACCGCGCGGAGGAAACCACCGGGTTATGCACAAGTGAGGTAGAAAGACATGAAGGTAGAATAAATTTTGCCTAAGTACTTTGTGACTGAAATTGGATTCAGATTTTACTTTATTCATAAACGAAGTTATAAGGATAAAAAATGACGAGAAATGGCAGTATTTTAATCAGTGAAAACGTCTTATTAAAGCACTATACTTACTTCGTACAGTGATTTTTATCAGAATGGTGTTAGGCTAGTTTACTTATTACGAGTAGGTAAGTACAACTTTCTTAAAAAAATATAAAATTTTAACGCGGGCTTAGCTCAAGCAAATAGGCGGAGGATGTCTAGTTGAAAACCACGGGTTTTAGTGGGTTCGAGTCCGATTTAACCTGTCGAACCCCGGAAAATGGGACTATTCCCACCCCACCCTCGTTCACCGCTGCAACTCCTGTGTAGCCAGGATCTACAGCTTGACCGCCATAAAACCCAACCAATGAAGCCCGGGAAGCGAGTACTGACCAGTTTCCCGGGTTAAAAAAGCCAAAGAAATAAGACAGAACTACAACTAATTGTTCTCTAAAGTCGACTCACCGTGCTAACGTCTCCAGTAGACCCTGCTCTCTTCAGCAATGGATGGTGGACGGTTTTCCCCGCCCCGCTAGCCCTCCCCCCTTCTACTATCTCCAGCTCCACAGGATAGGGGGAAGCGAGGGACATGATGCCCACTGCATCTTCTAAAGGCGTCCCCGTAAACTCGATCTTGATGCTTTTGATCTTGTCACCTGGAAGGGAGATCGGTTTGTTAATAGAGCTCGATTTAATGGAGTAAATTGGAGGATTGTGAACAATACAGGTCTCGCAAGGATCAAAACTTGTCGAAATTTTTGAATTTTTGAGTTTGTGTGAACAAGTTTTGTTCTTACATAGATCATGATACTTCATAGTGTATTTTACGCTTTCTCACAGCGTTTACCAATTTCAATTTGATTTTACTCGTACTTTGAGTTACCAATCCACGACCAAGAAAGAGTTTGTGGGTTTTAATGCCCGTTTTCACAATCCCTAATTTTTAAGTGGCCCCCATGAAAACAAAATTCCTGTTAAATATGTGTTAGTGTTACCATAGGGGTCACTTAAAAATTAGGAATTGATGGTGAAAACGGGCATCAGTCCCAAACAAATAATTTTTAGGTGAAAAATCTTGGTCTATTCTTTAGTAGGGACGAGGAATAGACCTATTCCTGAATTAAACATTGTGCAACAAGAACTCGATTCATTTCTTATTTTGATTCAAGTTTGAATCATGTTTCACATCTCTAACCCTTTGCTTTAACTTCTATCTAGATCCATCCAGACTTATTCTCTGACGTCATCCATCGATTTTCGATCACAAAACAATCGGCGATAAAAACGTGAGGATACTGCAGATCGGGGACGTGCCCTCTGTATCGGATCGGGATATGTTTGTGGCGATTGCATACAGCCACGAAGGTATAAACCATAGCTTGTATAGTGAGTTTATTTGAATCAGGACGAAGTTTAAAAAATGTTAAGTACCTAACTGCGCCACAGTAGTTAGGACTGGCAATACTTCCAATAGGTATAGCCTTTGCCTAAAACGATAGTAGAAGGTATTTGGCTAAAAGCAAAAAGGATCTTTATCCAAAGGACAAGGGTAAGGGCTTATTAGTATTTCCCTAAAAATACAAAGGTCTAAAAGAAATGAGAGAGAGAGAGAGAGAGATCTTTGCAAAAGTGACAAAGATAATTTTTCTACATTAAACAAAGGGTTTGATTGAAAGTAAAGGGTACAAAGCTTTATGCCTAAAATAGACAAGATTCTTAGACAAATACTTAAATACAAAGCCGTGGGTTTTGTTAACTAAAAGAGACAAAATGTATTTGCTTAGAAGAAACAAAACGTCTGAGCCTAGAAGGGACAAAAAGTCTGTGCCTGAAGGAGATAAACGGTCATTCTCCGGATCTNTTTGTTACTTAAATATTATGATATTCGGGTACTTTTTGGCCCCGGACACGTGATTTTCTTGGCCGGTGGAATGACCCTAAAGCTCTTGGCCTAAAAGACACAACATTTTTTGTCTAAATGACACAAGGCTATTTCCTAAAAAAGACAAATCATTGCCTAAAGATGCTAAGGGAAGCCCCCTTAGTGCGAGTTTACATCAAATGTCCTCACTCTAGTGAGCGCGTTAAAAAAATATATGAAAATTTTAGTTCTCGAAAGTTTCTAGGGGTGCTGTACAAACCGTCATACATTTAATGTCATTTTTTACGCGCTCAATAGTAACGACGTTTGATGTAAACTCGCACTAAGCCCTAAGGCAGGGATGGCGAACCTTTAATTTGAACGTGCCACTATTTAAAAAAAAATTGAAGTAGTCATAGACACGTGCCATTAAATTAACACCTAATTTAATGGCACCACTGGTGAGTAACACGACCTTACTCTACAGTGGCACTAACTGATGACGGCAAATACGATAGCTCATAATCAAAACACATTATTTACTATTGAATTACTGAATTTGTGATTGGTGGCGTGCCCAAAATATTATGTCGCGTGCCATCATTGGCACGCGTGCCATTGGTTCGCCAACCCTGCCCTAAGGCATTGGTTCCCAAACTTATATTAGACCCCTCCAGTCAAGATTATTTATTGGTCATATCGAGCAGTCTGGAACTCTCTCAGCGGTCACAGGTTTTTTATACTTAGTACACAGATGGCCCGTGCCCCCTTTTAAAGGTCTTTGCGCCTCCCCTGGGGGACGCGCCCCCCACTTTGGTAACCAATGCCCTAAGATCTTTGCCAAAGACACAAAGGCCTTCTCCTCACCTGGTTGCAGTTTCGCAGCAGCAGCAGGCCCGCTCCTCAGCACCGAGTGGACGTGCACCCCCTCCCGCGCGCCGCCCCCGCACCGCAGTCCCAGCCCGGTGAAGTCCCGCGCCCATAGCTTCACGCGGCGAACTTGAGCTCGCTGCGGACAAAAGACAATCAAAATCAATATCAGAGTAAATACTACGAATGAGTAGGTCATCTTCATAGAAACGCACCGAGCGCGGTTTGTATGTGAGCGCGCCAACACGTATGCGGCGCGCGCGCACCCACTGACAAAATTTAGCGTTGATTAGCGGGGAGCCAGTCGTGGTTACGCATACGGTTTGTATGTGAGCGCGCCAATATGCGTATATGTTTATTGGCGCCCGTGCGTTTCTATGAAGATGACCTACCTACTCATTTGTATTTACTCTGTCAATATGGCGCAGTTAAGGCGCGCGCGCACGTGACTGTACTGTCCTGTCACTGTCTTTCTATCTATAGTTTCCTAAGCTGCTTCTTCTCAGCACTGGTACATTTACACCCGTATTCAGAAACGATACTTGAGCTCGCTGCGGACAAAACACAATCAAAATCAATATGGCGCAGTTAGGCGCGCGCGCACGTGACTGTACTGTCGTCTGTCACTGTCTTTCTGTCCATAGTTTCTTAAGCTGCTTCTTCTCAGCACTACTGGCACATTTACACCCGTATTCAGAAACGATACTTGAGCTCGCTGCGGACAAAACACAATCAAAATCAATATGGCGCAGTTAGACGCGCGCGCACGTGACTGTACTGTCAATGTCTTTCCATAGTTTCTTACGCTGCTTCTTCTCAGCACTGGCCAGAGAGCAGAAATAACAGGAGTGGAACTGACAGGCAATCCCCTCTAGCAATGTAAGTAGACCAGTGGTTCACTCAGTTTATAAAAACTAGTTGCAGCGCCACCAATGACATATTCCAAATGTCACTATTGAAGAGTAACGTGCTGCGATAAAAATGGTAAATTGCAGTGTTTTTAATTGTAAAAAGAGATCTGAAACATATAATCTTGAAAAGGACAACATTACATTCCATCGGTAAATATTATTTTATTTATTTCACATTAATTAATATGTTACTGTAAAAGCTCGAATTGCAGTAAATCCTAAGATATTCCAGTAAAACCTAAGATCTACCAATTTCTAATGGTAAATGTCCCAAAAGGTTTGCGATTCGAACTCTTACCACCATTTCGTTGGTAAATCTTAGGATTTACATTAATGGCACGGTAAATGTTGAAAAACAAAACATGTCGTAACGTGCTCAGCGTATCTCATCATCATCATCATCATCAGAAATTACTTCAGTTGGAAAAAATCGAATCTATCTTAATATTGAAGTTGCCCTCTTTGTATTTCTAGTCGCTCACTTAGTAATGTAGTCGCACGGACAGAATTTTAATATCTAAAATGGATTAAACATAACCCACTTTTTGTAAGCTCGTTCTGCATTTGATTATTAATCAATATTCGTCGTTAGTTAAGTAAATTTTTCGCTTACTCAAATTCATACCGCTCAAGTTATTACAACAGTAAGTATGCCATCATCAGTCGCTAAGTTATTTTAGTCGATCGTTTTTTAATTCCCCATTAAGAATTACTCATTGTTTTATTCCTAAAACTAACATCTAGCAGCTGACAGAGGTAAAACCTAGCATATACTGAATTCGAATGGTAAAAGCTCGAAAAAATGGTCGTATTTTCAGAAATACTTACATTTACCAACTCATGTCGGTAAATCCTAAGACTTACACTTAAATCTTAAGATTAACCGTAGTTCGAGCTTTTACAGTAACAAATACACTAAATTTGCAAAAAACTAAATTTCTAGAAGTGTTGCCACTGGAATGACTGGAAAGCAAAAATTCCTAATTGTGTAATATTTTAAGGATAGTGTACTTATAACAATATAATCGAAATTCTATGCAAACAATTTGATACTGCCAGAGGCGGGGCAAGNGCTCTTAAGGGCATTCAGTGTCCACTACAGGAGCACGACTCTCTTTAATTATTAAACACTTATGCCCGTTTTCACCATGAATCCGTAATTTTTAAGTGATCCCTATGTTAACACATATTATTATCAGGAATTTAGTTTTCATAGGGTTCACTTAAAAATGGTAGGCTAATGCCCGTTTTCACCATCAATCCCTAATTTTTAAGTGACCCCTATGGAAACATAATTCCTGATAATAATATGTGTTAACATAGGGATCACTTAAAAACACCATGTCATGAAAACGGGCATTACATCCCTACTCATCTTCATCATCCGGCCATTTTTAAAAAGGCAAATGAGGGAATAGTTTAGGCCTACAATCCTCAACCATAATTTAATCTTTGGAAAAATAACCGTGCTTAGGCAGGTCGCCGTATAATGTAGCAATTTATAATAACTCACTGGTAGATCGTCAGAACAAGTAATGCAAAATTGCGCAGTTATTAAAAATAACTATTCTTAAGTATGATAACTACTGCAACATTGTTATTCTACTAGCGTAGATAGATAATTCTGGCGATAAGATTTCAAACCAGTGTACATTTTAAATCTTGATAACAAATAGGTTCATAATAGGTAGGTAGGTACTTCTGGAGAAGCATCCTTCTTGCTCTAGTAATTGATTATAACATGAGGATAAAAACTGTTTACAAGATTGCTATCATTGAGGCATAATTGCAAGTTTTTTTATGTCTATTTAAGACTTGTTATTATAATAAAAAATAATGCAGTACCTACTCAAGTAAGGAAATAAAACAATAAAATTACTACACAACTTTATCTTGATCGGTGAGTTCACCTCCAAGTTATTATAAACACCTACTTGCTTAGTTCTAAGAGTAGGCGCACACCTTTGATTTTTCGTCGGCCGATAGTTTAGTCGGGCAGTTGATCAGTATGGGCATGTATGGGAGTGCGCACACTACGCCGATTCGATTTGACCGATTCTTCATGAATAGAATTTAAAATCGGGTACAAACTATCGGCCGACGAAAAATCAACGGTGTGCGCCTACTCTAACACGTTCTAAGCTGTCATTACGGAGAGCAAAAAGGTTGTATGCATCCGTGTGAACTACGCTGTTGAATGAATAACATAACCTTCATTGACGACACTAAAAAATATCCTCCTTGTGGGCAACGCCTTTGCCTGGTTGATCAGTTTAAAAAAAAAATCAATCGTTCGACCTCGCATTCAAAATTTGAAAAAGGAATGATCTTGAGCACTGACAGCATGTCTTCAAATTCCAATTTGTAATTTTTGAAAACAGTGGGTCTAGACAAAGTACTTGACAATTATAATCGCAAACCAGTCGAAAAGTGGTCGAAAAGCCCCTTTTTTGTATGGAGTTTTGACGGATTCGATTTTCGATTCGATCAAAAAGTGCATTTTGTCTAGGGGGGCTGGTATTATCTGTGGTAGGTAATTAGGTAATTTTTCACCTCTCATAAAGATAAAGAAGAGTGGGCGGTGATAGTCCTTGATGCTTTGATGCTTAAAAACGTGGTAACTTAATGGTTCGTCTTTTGTTTCTTATTTTTTTAGAAGATCGCTACAGGATATAAAATTTGTATTTTTATAAAATAGTTGATGGAAGTAACACTATTAAAATTGTTCAAATTGCACATAAATTGAGCATATTATAACTCGTAAAATGTCAGTCGGTAAGTAACTTACTTCAATGTTGAATAATAAATCTGATGATGCGATGTGGAGAATTATTTCACAGTTGAGGAAATTGAAAGTGACATCATTTATCAGTTTTTCCTGTTTAATTTTCCTTATCTTCTTTTCTGAGATGGTAAATATTTCATATCTCATTAATTTTACTCGTATAAAAAGACCATTCTGTTGTTCAAAACTATTTAGCATGTTGTTCTTAACTAGGTATTTGTTTAAATTCCATCATAACATAGTCGTCATAGCACAAGCACAGTTATTTTGGAGTTACAATTAAAGACGGGACCGCCGGGACACCGCTGCAACTCCTGTGTAGCCAGGATCTACAGCTTGACCGCCAGTAAAAATCCAACCAGTGAAGGTCAAGCTTGTTCAATTAAGTAGGTGATTGTTGGATGAATTTCATCATGTTCATCATCACCATTTCAGCCATAGACTGATTTCCACTGCTGAACATAGGCCTCCCCCAATGACTTCCACATCGCACGGTTAGTAGCGGCCTGCATCCAGCGCCTTCCTGCTTCCTTTATCAGGTCGTCGGTCCACCTTGTCCCACGTCCCTTCCCACCTTGACGTCCCACTGTGCGTTTTCCGGTACGTGGCCTCCACTCCAGAACCTTGCTGCCCCATCGGCCGTCAGTTCTGCGTACCTACCTACTAAGTATTGCTCTGCCCATTGCCACTTCAGGTTGCTAATCCGTCGGGCTATGTCATTGACTTTAGTTCGTTTACGTTTACATCTTATTCCCCGTTCTATTTTCCTAACAAAACTTAATACAATTTTTCATGCGTTAGAAATTACTCATAACAAAAGATGACGGCATGTGACCTAAATCACTACTAAAGCCGGTCAAACAATGATAAAACATAAAGGCACGCCTTAGGCAACCGCTTATGGAATTTTCCAGCAATTACCATGTATTACATAATTATCATATCTTTACCGTTGGGAAACTATAGCTGCGACATAATCTCTTACCGTGAGAATCAAGGCGTATGTAATTTCGAGCTTTGACTTTGTAATATCCTCATTGCAAACTAGGTGAAGACGTGACATGATAGCCTATTAAGGATCACTGTCAGGTTTTTTAAGTAGGCCTTCTGGCACGGGACTGTTCCCACCTATGGTTCCCACCACTGCAGATCCTGTGTAGCCAGGATTTACTACTTGATCACCACTAAAAAGGTATTTTAGCAAGCAGAACCCCACATAACTCACTAGCTGCCCCTAAGGCTTGAGGATTTCATATATTTTCCTGACCATAAAATTTTAGTCGAAATTGGACACGACGCTATACCGAATTCCTCGCCAAGAAGTCCCAAAGATTTCTTCTTTTATAACATTCTTTCATATTTCTTTCTTTTTCTTTTCTTGTCTTGAATGGCAAATGGCAATACAATAAAGTGTGTAAACTTTTACAACATTGTAAAAGGCATCAATATCAATGCAGTTTCGTTCAAAATAATTGAGTACCACAGGTACTAAAGCGCATTCCTGCCGGTGCAAAAAGGCGATCCCATTTGCAAGGCAGTATATCAATTTGTTTCGAGCGGAATGCAGATCGGCCTCCGATTGCGTATTGTGTGGTGCAGTTAGGGTTGCCAGGTCCAAAAACACAAAAGCCGGACTTTGTGCTTCATTTGGCCGGACATTTTACCCTAAAAGCCGGACATGTGACAATGTAATTAGTGTCAGCTCATGAGTGAGTACTATCATCATATCGGTTGCTAACCAACATCCTGATGCGTGCGCTTCATATGATTCTGTGGCTCGACTTTTGCCTGGCGCGGCAACTAAATAAAAAGCCTAGCAAAAGCCGGACAGGCCGGACAAGGCAATATTTGGCCGGACAAGTCCCTAAAAAGCCAAACATGTCCGGCTAAAGCCGGACGCCTGGCAACCCTAGGTGCAGTTTGTGTAGGGCATCCAAGTGATTAGCGTTTCAAAAAAGGAATTATAACTGGACTAGCGGCCGCCCGCGACTTCGTACGCGTGGATCCCGTTTTACCCCCTTAGGAGTTGAATTTAGCAAAATCCCGTCTTAGTAAGCACCTACGTTCTAAAAGGAACCAACATACAAAATTTGAGACTCCTAGCACTTGTAGTTTCTGAGATTTCGTGATGAGTGAGTCAGTCAATCAGTGACCTTTCGCTTCTATAAATAATATAGATTTCGTATTAGGCGATTAATGGACAAATATGGGAATATGGTTTTCGTATTAGGCTAAAGGACAAACATGGGACTTTCAGGTCTCTCCAACCCATGCAGGCCAAAGTGGGGAGTGTACTTTTTCTCTACTAATGTAGAGATCCTGGCACACAGGAGTTGCAGCGGTGAGAACGAGACGTGGGAATAGTACCATGATGATAGGGGTAATATTTATTTGTATTTTATTTTAAGATTTGCCATCAGCACCATGCCTTAAATCTACAACTTAAATCCTGAATGCCTTGATACAGACATAATATTATGGATGATAGATGTTGCCCAAGCATAGGTCTGGCAAGGGTAAACTAAGAGTGACATACCCCTGGACCATAATATTATGGTACAAAACATTACAAAAATAGCTGATAGCATCTTTATAGTTGGAACAAGGGCAGCAAAAATGTAGGCTGAGCTATCTGTACCATATAAAATGTTCGTTCGTTTCAACCAAATGACGTCCACTGCTGGACAAAGGCCTCCCCCAAGACTTTCCACAATGAACGGTTCTGCGCATATAAAATGTTTCTTCATTTATCCCATAGCAGCGTCAATCATGGTGCCCCCACCGAGGGTGTAATGAGACTAGGTACAAGTTTCTTGTCGTAAGGAATGCACGCTGACAGCGGCCATGCTGAGTGGACTTTCTACCTCCGTAATCGACCATGGGGTTTGCGTTTCTGATGATAGAAACGTTAATTCTTTGTTGGGATTGTAGGCTCTTTAAACGTTGCAACTTAGGCAAATAATAGCATAGAAGGATTATTAGTGAGATTGTAATGTTTAATTAGGTACCTAATAACAGAATTGCCCCAATCAAAATATTTTAGATTTTGGTAGTGTTCGGCTTTGATTAAAAAATAAACGTCCATAATTTCACAAGCTAGCTCAACGGACTCTAATACGGAAGACAATACAAACAAATTTTATTTTTTGGTAAGGAAGTTATGAAAGAGAGATTATTAGGAAAATTTCAAATATTGGAAACCTGGATATCCTACATTTCTGTGGAAATATTTTAAACACAAGATTAACTAGTGAAGACATATATCTTTCAGGATATGAGTAGTAAGTAGTTATGTACCCACCCAACATACAAAAAACATGTGTCATCGTCAGTCTTGTCAAACTAGTTACGCAAACTTTGTTGACTTTCTATCTTTATAATGCGCAAACATTACTAGGTAAGTTTTACTGCCTAATTCTTGATATTAACGTGTGGAATATGAACAATATTACGTTTAAGCTAAGGATATTAATAAACACCGAAAACTGGTTCAAAGTTGCTCCGAAATTAGAAAAATACAAATTATTTTTCCGGTTTGCTTGACGTAAGAGCGAATCTTGTTTCGAACATTATTATAAACAACTTAAATCTGTTGTATTTTATTAAAACAAAACAACTAATAAGGAGCAACTAAGTTACCTAATATAAGTGAAAGTTCGATTTAAAGATCTTTATTTTAAATTAAGGCCAGTGATTCTCAGTGGTCTAGTAACAAACCCCTAAAAAAATATTGCGATCCCTGTCATGTAAAATGTGAAATAAATTGGGGGTCCCTGGCAAAGAATGGGGGTCCACGATAGTGACCTTTAGTTATGCTTTCCACGACTAAAACTAAGCCCGTTGAACTAGTTTGAAATGTGGCACTTTTTTGCGTACTTCTATCTAGGCTTTACTAATCTAAGGCTTGGCCTTGCATCATCTTACATTAACTTTAACAAACGACAGAAGATTTTCAAACTACATACAAAAACACCGGTTATGGTTATCTCATTACAGTTAAAGTAGGTGTTGCAACTTAGGCTACGTTTCTAGCTTCTTATCCAAAATTACCTGTAAATGCGAGTCATCTTTGCTTTGATCGGGCCTGGTGAACTCGGCCTGCAAGACATGGGCCTTCCCCCCTAAGGGTAAAGTAGGGGCCTCATGTTGCCAGGCCGACCGCTCGTCCTGCCTGAAGCCAGGGTTGTCGAACGCGAACTCATCCTTCACTGATTCCGGGTCTGTTGAGAAGACCAGGTGTTTGCCTGCGGGAGAAACGGTTCAATTAGTTTTTGGTTTTGGACATAATAATAATTACATTACATTCCCTCTAATATGGTCGAGTGAAGCGATGGCTGGTTCACTCGTCATGTCTGTGAACAGGCGCTGCTTTCGGGGACTGGTCAATCCAAGTTATTCAAATTTATGTATGCGAGTCATTTCTACTAATATTTAAGTATCTTAATCTGTAAGTATAGATATTAGCACGTCACTACCTTGTTTAATATACCATGCCATTTTGTATACCTATTCTTATAAGATAGGTACACCATACAAGAATGCATGGTAAATTTAGTGAACTGCTCCTGAATCAAATGTACCTACTACTGCTATTTCTATTTCTATATTAACCGGCAGACAGTGGTGACTGAGTTTGTTGCGGCGCTTCTTCTCAGCACTTGCCAAATGTTGGTCTCGAAGCGCTGCCGCGCTGGTAGGGTTATGAGACATGTAAAGGCTCCTTAAGAGCAAAATATTTGACGATTTGTAGGTACTATTTATTAGTCTAAACAAATAAAGAAATTTTAACTTTGACTTTTGACTAATTTATTCATTTATTACGTAGGTACACCAGCAGATTTCAATAAAACATAGGAACGCAAGCCTATTAATTCTCAACCAATTACTAGTTAAAACATGCTAAGAAAAACCTTTGCTTAAATAAGTTTTTAAGATATTTGTACGTGCCAATATGAGATACCTATTTGTATAAAATAATTAAATCCTAATTTTTGATAAATAATTTCCAAACTGTACTGCGCTCTCGAAACAAAAACTTCAAATCAGTAACTATTTCAAGGAAACACAATTAAATTCTATTAATAATTTTTCTGCAATTGTAAAGCCACAGGATGTAGTCTGACATTGGCTTTTGTTTTTATCTATTTCCCGTTAATATAAAACTGTTATCCGTAATCAGTGAGCGTAAAATGGTAATTGGCAGACCGTCTGTTCGACAAAAAATCATAATTAATTTAACATTTGTTTTAAACTAACTGTGATAGTGAAGGTGTTGTTATGACTATGGAAGAATACCTTTTACTTTTAGTTAAAGCACCTTATAATAGTAAATTCGTCATAAAATTCAATTTTTTTTTGCCCGATGGATCCGGGAGATGAATCCAGGACCAACTCATAGAATTCCAGTATTTTGGGTCTATGTATCTTCAAACGGTCTAGTTGAAAAAAAAAAACAATTTTGACTAAATATTGGCCAGCGTTTCTCAATATTTTTACAGACCCTTTTCATATACACGAGATTAATAAAAATAACTAAGTATTAAAATAACTTTGAAGTGAAACAAAAAATATTTTTAAAACTAGTTTGCATAAATATTTCTCATGGTTATTAAAATAAAATTATTTACCACGATACAAGTTCCAATATATCATTATGTGATTTGAACGTTTTAAAATCAAGTATGAAATGATTAAAAAAAAATCTAATTTAATGACATTTAATTACATAAACCATCCCTCCGAGATGGGTGGTCTTTTCTAACATGGCAATTATATTAGAATTATAGGTGTACCAGAATCTCATGACAAATAGGGAAAATAAACTTTGTTGAGAGCACACACGTTTATCGATATTTTTTCACATCTACAAAAATACCATAACTTGTTGAGGTAATAGGGCCGACTAGTACACAAGTTAAATTATTAACTAGAAGTATGAATAATATTTATTTACACATCCTGTGATTTGACTTCTCGAAGCTAAAGTTATATTAGGTAAGTAGGACTTATTTAGGTAAATGAATGCTACAAAAACCTTTCAATACATGGTGTACTATGGATGGGACACATCGGTTGGCAATGTAATGTCAAAACAGTCATTATTCATTATTCTTTTGTATTATCATTTGTTACAGTCATTATTCTTTTGTATATCAGTAGTTATAGCCGAGAGCAGACTTTTTATTGCAGAATAACATCTATTACAATTCATAAAGATACTGTTACGAGTTTTTATTTATTTATTAGGTGTATCCGTGTGCAACAATTGTTGCACATTTTTACAGTAAATTTAATGAGAATCGGCATAAATAAAAAACAACGACATCCATAATTTTATTATTCACGGTTCTGAATAAACAAAAAAATGAAAGTAAGTATTAAGGCGATAGGTGAGGCAAAACTGCAAAAAAGACCTCTCTTTGAATCCCTACTCCTCCTAAATGGATGATCCAAACAAGAAAAAAAAATATGTATGAGATGTATGATATCTGAAACTAAAAAATTGTTGTTCGTTTTTTTTTGTTACAACTTTTAGTTTTGACAGAAAAAAATCTTAACTTTCTTTTAATTTCACCAAATNCATATGAATTCAATTCCGATATTAATATCGGAATTCCGATATTGAGATCTAATATCGGAATCCAATATCGGAATTGAAAACCTTCCGATATTACATGCCCTAGTGGTGACTGAGTTTGTTGCGGCGCTTCTTCTCAGCACTTGCCAAATGTTGGTCTCGAAGCGCTGGTAGGGTTATGAGCAGGGTTCGAGGATATATATCAAGGGATATATATCAAGATATATATCGGATATATATCCGATATATATCAAGCCGGTTTTGATGATATATATCAACTTTTAAAATTTGTTACTGTATTTGTACTTTTTGACATAAGATTTTTATTTTTTTAGTTGATTTTGCGGTATTTCAAAGATATTTTATGTTTTTGCTTTATTTGTCTGATTTTAAGTTTTAAAAGCATTAAAAACATGTTTATGTAACACATATGCAATAGTATTCATGAATAATACAATAAAATAATACTACTTATGGCTTTCATACAAAATTGATATATATCAAAGTTGATATATATCGGATATATATCATAAATATCCGATATTTTGATATCTTCTATATTTATAAAAGAAAGTCGTGTTAGTTACACCACTTATAACTCAAGAACGGCTGAACCGATTTAGCTGAAAATTGTCAGGGAGGTAGTTTAAAGCCAGGAGAAGGACATAGGATACTTTTTATCCCGTTCGAAATTAAAAAAAAGTCTGCTTATTTATTGCCATTAATGCGGAACAAAGTTCGCCGGGTCAGCTAGTTTATAATAAATATCGGATATTTTCGAACCCTGGTTATGAGACATGTAAAGGCTCCTTAAGAGCAAAATATTTGACAATTTGTAGGTACTATTTATTAGTCTAAACAAATAAAGAAATTTTAACTTTGACTTTTGATTAATTTATTCATTTATTACGTAGGTACACCAGCAGATTTCAGTAAAACATAGGAACGCAAGCCTATTTCTCAACCAATTACTAGTTAAAACATGCTAAGAAAAACCTTTGCTTAAATAAGTTTTTAAGATAATACTGTACGTGCCAATATGAGATACCTATTTGTATAAAATAATTAAATCCTAATTTTTGATAGATAATTACCAAACTGTACCGCGCTCTCGAAACAAAAACTTCAAATCAGTATTTCAAGGAAACACAATTAAATTCTATTAATATTTTTTCTGCAATTGTAAAGCCACAGGATGTTGTCTGACATTGGCTTTTGTTTTTATCTATTTCCCGTTAATATAAAACTGTTATCCGTAATCAGTGAGCGTAAAATGATAATTAAAAGACCGTCTGTTCGACAAAAAATCATAATTAATTTAACGTGTTTTAAACTAACTGTGATAGTAAAGGTGTTATGACTATGGAAGAATACCTTTTACTTTTAGCACCTTATAATAGTGAATTCGTCATAAAATTATACGATTGATTCAACATTATTTTTTGCCCGATGGATCCGGGAGATGAATCCAGGACCAACTCATAGAATTCCAGTATTTTGGGTCTATGTATCTTCAAACGGTCTAGTTGAAAAAAAAAACAATTTTGACTAACTATTGGCCAGTGTTTCTCAATATTTTTACAGACCCTTTTCATATACACGAGATTAATAAAAATAACTAAGTATTAAAATAACTTTGAAGAGAAACAAAAAATATTTTTAAAACTAGTTTGCATAAATATTTCTCATGATTATTAATATAAAATTATTTACCACGATACAAGTTCCAATATATCATTATGTGATTTGAACGTTTTAAAATCAAGTATGAAATGATTAAAAAATAAAAAACTATTTTCTTATGACATTTAATTACATAAGCCATCCCTTCGAGACGGGTGGTCTTTTCTAACATGGCAATTATTTTCGAATTACACACGTTTATCGATATTTTTTCACATCTACAAAAATACATAACTTGTTGAGGTAATAGGGCCGATTAGTACACAAGTTAAATTATTAACTAGAAGTATGAATAATATTTATTTACACATCCTGTGATTTGACTTCTTGAAGCTAAAGTTATATTAGGTAGGAAGTAGGACTTATTTAAATGAATGCTGCAAAAACCTTTCAATACAGGGTGTACTATGGATGGGACACATCGGTTGGCAAAGTAATGTCAAAACAGTCATTATTCATTATTCTTTTGTATTATCATTTGTTACAGTCATTATTATTTTGTATATCAGTAGTTATAGCCGAGAGCAGACTTTTTATTGCAGAATAACATCTATTACAATTCATAAAGATACTGTTACGAGTTTTTATTTATTTATTAGGTACTTAATCAAAAAGTAATGAATATTATAATGACTAAGGTGCATCCGTGTGCAACAATTGTTGCACATTTTTACAGTAAATTTAATGAGAATCGGCATAAATAAAAAACAACGACATCCATAATTTTATTATTCACGGTTCTGAATAAACAAAAAAATGAAAGTACATATTAATTTGCGGTCCAACACAAACATCTCTTAATTTTTAGGTGAAAGTCTCTGAATCGCGGTGCATGTAAAATTTTACGATTAATAAGCACGCAACTGTTTCAATGTCGGTAAGGAAATTAATATTGTTAATGTTGTGTTATGTAAGAATATGCCATAAGTAAGACCGTGCGGCGTGCATTATTAACTTTGGTTTGGAATGTCTATTGTTTTGTGT